AAAAGAGAGAGATTCTAGCCCATGGTATCAGTGAATAGAAAAGATTGCCCCCCTTTTAAAAGAGGGTTTATCATAATAATGCTGCTTCTTGAGGCTTGCACTTCTAGAGTTGCCATTCCCTCTGTGCCATCCATATATAATATATCCATATATATGAACTTGAACCAGTCTTGGTATTTTTCCCTTTCTCTTTGGACATGATAAGCCCCCCCTGAGTAGTAACTCCAAAAGTGGATAATAGAAAGTTGAAGAAGAGACCTTTACATGGAGAGGTAATTTGCATGCATAATATAGGAAGGTCGTCTTTAGGTATGTACAGCCTTACTTTAAACCATTGACTTATGCTCCAAAGTAAACTGTAATTCAATGTTCGTAGTATAGCAAACGAATGAAAGCTTTAGTAATGTAGTCATCATGGTGTTCACATGTAATCTGGTACATCAGAATATAAGCATTCTTGAAATGTATGGATATCTTTAATAACGGTTAAACATTTCATGTGTGTCATACAGCTTTTTTTTCCTTCACCCACCCAGACAATCAAGATTGGCCCTTTCACCTATAAGATACTAACTTCTCATTTTAGACTGATTTTGGTTTTGGTTTTTTTTTTATTCAGCGATTATGGGGGTCTCATTTAACTAGTTAAACAAGTAATACAAAAGTACTATTGACTATATTAATGTTAATATTAACCAGGGTGGGGAGTAAAGTGGAAGACTGGGTAATGAGCAAGGAAAGGGGGCTTAGAAAACTTTTGCTAAACATTGCAGTAATAAACAAGAGGACTTTTTACTAGTATATCTAGTCTGGTATCTGCCTGCAGTCAAGAGCTTAAACATTTCCAAGCTTGCAAGTGGGCTGTTACTTAAAGTTTGCCCAGAGAGAGAACACTTAGAGTTAAAAAAGGAGAAACTAAATTGGTGTAAGAAACTTGCCCAGCCTTATTTCTTGTCAGTGACGATTCATCAGTGACAATCTTCTTTCCTCTCCTGTTAATCACTGGATTTGTTTAGTTGTGCCAGACAGCTACCAAATGTTTGTTGTAATGGAAGCAGATGTTCCAAAAGTATAATTGATCAAAAGTGTTCAAGATAATGCTTGGACAGATTTTATTTCACATGGGTTTATTTACTAAATTCTAAAATTCTACAATGTACGTACATTATAATGCATGGGAGATGTTTAAAGGACATTCAAAATTTTACAGATAACCCCTATATGAGGGGCTTGAGCATCCTCAGTTTTGGTATCCAAGGAAGGCCTGGACCAACCATGGATATAGGATCTAGGAAAATTCATTGAGGCAGAAAGTGTTAGAGGATATCAAAGCAGTGGAGCCAGGGGGGAGGTGGAAGAGAGGTTAATTCATGTTATATAGGTTTCTGTTTGGGGCCAGGTGCAGTGTCTCACGCCTGTAATCCTAGCAGTCTGGGAGGCTGAGGTGGGAGGATTGCTCAAGGTCAGGAGTTCGAGACCAGCCCAAGCAAGAGCGAGACTCCTGTCTCTACTAAATCTATATAGAAAAAAATTAGCTAGGCATGGTGGCACATGCCTATAGTCCCAGCTACTTGGGAGGCTGAGGCAGCAGGATTGCTTGAGCCCAGGAGTTTGAGGTTGCTGTGAGCTAGGCTGATGCCATGGCACTCTAGCCTGGACAACAGAGTGAGACTGTCTCAAAAAAGTTTCTGTTGGAGTGATGAAGTTTTGGAAATAGTCATGATGGTTGCACAACATTATAAATAATGTCACTAAAGTGTACACATTGTTAAAACAGGAAATTTTGTTACATTTTTTTTACCACAATAAAAAATCCTAAAGACACTAAAAAAAAAAAATGATCGCAGCTAACCTCGTTTCACCTGTGACTGTATCAGTATAGTTATGTAGACTTTGAGCCAAATGATGATCTGCCTGTACTGGTAGGCTGGGAAAAGGGAAGGATGTGAGTGAAGGAAGGAGAACAGGGAGGAAAGAGAATTCAATATGCATCTAGACAACAGATAACACCTGCCCCTGATAATCAAGAAAATAGCAACATACGTTTAATTTAGAAACATGGAGGGAGGCAAACACCAAAAGAAACGGTTACAACACAGGTTCCTGTGGAGAAGTAGCTAAGGGGACAACAGGCCGCTTGTCAAAGCTGAAGGATGCGAGGTGGCACCGTAAAGTAACGCATCAGAGGCGAAGACGTTTATCACGCACCGCAGTGGCCGTAGTCGAGGATCGTATTTGGTCCCCTGAATCCCGACTTCCACAGGCAGGTGCGGAGACGCACGCGGGGGAGGCTGGCCCTGGGAGCCGGGGAGAAGCGCAGTCCGCGGGAGACGCGGAGGGGGCCGGTCCCGGCCTGCCGTTTTTCACAACCAACCTCCTCAAATTAAGTTTTAAAATTACCTGCACAAGTAACTTTCCTAAAAGTGAAAATCCAGTAAGTTAAACTGGTTTACTTACGGAGACACTCGCGCAGCCCGGACTCCTCCTGGCTGGGCATCTTTTCTTGGCCCGCGGAGACCCAGAGTCCAGGGAAGTCAGGAATGGCAACCCCAGCTTTCCCGAAACTTCGCGGATAAAGGACGGAGCCCGCCCACCCCCCAGCGCAGGGGCGAGCGGGGCGGAGCCGCCGGCACCGCGGCTGCGGGCCGCACCTGCGCGGCAGCGGGAGCCTCGTGTGCGGGCGGCGCACCTGCTGCAGTTCGCGCTGAGCACACCTGAGCGGGGCGCGGGCTCCCGCACCCGAGAAACCGGCAACGCGGGCCACCTGCCCGGGCGGAGGGGGCGGCTGCAGCGGACGTCCCGTGTCCGGCCGCCCCGCCCCTCCCGGACCCCCGCGCCCACCTGGCCGCCCCGCGCCCGCGCATCCGGCCGCCCGTAGGTTACATAAGGCCGCGCCTATCTCCGGGGCCATCGCCGACCGCGCCCCTCCCACGCGCGGGCGCGGCTGCCCCCAGCCCCCGCACGGCTTCTCTGGTCTTGGAGGGGCGTTGACTCACACGGGCGGGGCTCCGGGACCCGCGTGGCCCAGGTGGTTTCCCCGCTTCTTCCCCCACACGGAGACCCTATGGGGGATGCCATGGGCTCCGTTCTACAGATGAGGAAACTGAGGCCCGCAGAGGGTCACGCAACTAAGCAGAGGCGCGGGGCGGTCCACCAGGGGCAGGGCTGGCTCCGGGGTCAGGGTCTGCAGCTGGGCTGGGAGGCGGCGGCGGCGGCGCGGACAGAAGAGCGATGGGAATTGTGTTCCCCGCGGGAAGACGGCCTGGGCAAGGCTGGGAGGCTCCGGGGCAGCAGCGAGGCTCCAGCGTCCCGTCCCGGGAAGACCCGGCAGAGCCCCCTAAGGAGAGGAGGGGAGCCTGAGCAGGCAGAGCGGGCTGGGCGGGGAGGAGCTGGCCTAGGGGAGGAAGTGGGTGAGGGAGAGATCTCCACATCAGCACCTGATAGGCAAATGCTGCGGCCTCTGCTGAAGGGGCTTCTGGAGACTTCCAGGGAAGTGGGCGAAGAGCCGGGGAAAGGCCAGTTGCGGGGGTTCTGCAGGGGGTGTGCTGCTTACAGGGCCAGGAGGTACACTCAGCATCCCTCATTCTGGGGGCAAACTTGGGGCCCCCAGAAGGCAGGGTTTGTCCCAGCGAGACTGGAGGGCAAAGGTGATCGTCCCAAGCCCCAGGGGCACTGGAACATTTACGCTCTCCAGCCTGGGCTCAGGCTGCCATCCTGGCCCGGTCAGGGTTTCCCAGCAGGATGGCCTGGTGTCCAGGCTGCCCATATGCACAGTTACCATCAAAACAATTTTAAAAATTAAAGGGGTCAGGCATGGTGGTGTGTGCCTGTGGTCCCAGCTACTCAGGAGGCTGAGGCAGGAGGATCACTTGAGCCCAGGAGTTAGAGGCCAGCCTGGGCAACATATTGAGACCCCATCTCTTTTAAAAAAAAAAAAAATTAAAAGTCCCAGGAGGATCTGTGAATCTGGCTGGACCTTTCAGTGGAGACTTGGGAATCTGAGCTTTCATAATCCTTCCCACAGTGGGGGCAAGGCGGAATTAGGTAGGCCAGAAGTGAACCTTATGCTTCTCCTTTTATCTTGTTTGAATTTTGAATCCAAAGCAAGTATTATGATGGTAATTCAAGAGGCCAGTTCATTGCAAAAATAAAGCCCCCAAATTCCCACAGCTCATAGACTATGGTCACAGCCTAGTGCCAGTGAGACTTTGCCCAGGACTTCCAGTGACCCAGGGCGGTCTGAGGACGGGCTCAGCTGTGCAGGTGACCACCAGGCACAACTGCGGGAGCCCAGACGAGCCTTGCTGAGGCCGGGATGCCCTCAGGGCTGCCCTGCGATTAGGCCCATCCAGATCTGGAAACTCTGCCCCAGACTCTTCTCAACAAGTCCACGAGAAATCAAACTCTTTCCTTTGTGCGACGCTGGATTTTCCACAAAGTAAAATCAAGATGAGTAAAGATGTGGTTTCTAGATAGTGCCCGAAAAAGCGGAGACCAGGGTGTCAGGCGTCACCACTTAGCCTATAAAAGCTGCCACAAGAGGCCAAGGCCACAAGCCGCTTAGCTCGGGCCAGCCTACGCGTCTGCTCCTCAAGCCTCCCGTGTTGGCTCTGGGCCCATGGCGCCGTGGTTGACCATGGTCATCGCTCTCACCTGCCTCGGCGGCCTCGCCTCCCCAGGCCCTGTGCCTCCCTCCACGAACCTCAGGGAGCTCATCGAGGAGCTAGTCAACATCACCCAGAACCAGAAGGTGAGTGTCACCGGCCGGGGGCCAGCTCCGAGGGTGCCTCTCAGGTCAGGAGCAGGCGGGGCCTGGTCCTCAGGGGCCCCTGCTTGTGGATCAGACGAGGCGCCCCGGACTGGGGGCCAGGCCCCCCGTGAGGGAGAGAGGAGCAAGGCTGGGGGGACCACAATATAGACGAACCCTCAAAGGGGGTTGGCAGGGCTCCAGGGACACCTGCTCCCCGCCTGGCCCAGCCCTTCTGAGCAGAGGGGCGCAGGGAGAGGCTGGCAACCTCCTAGAACCGTGTGGCATCTGTCAACGGGATCTTGAACACAACAATGGGCCGTTATCCACAGCATCTCAGTTAAGGCCATTCTGACAGCAGGATTCACCAGCAGGACCAGCTCCGCTCCCCAGTAGCGACAGCTCACACTTCCCAAGCACTGAGCATGCGCCAGGCCGGGTGCTGGGGGCTTCACCTGTCCTCTGGTCACTGCCGACCCCTCCTGACGCAGGTGCGACGACCCCACTCTGCTGACTAAGGTTCAGCGAGAGTCAATGACAGGCCAGATTCAAACCAGGCCTGGCTGACCCCCTGTGGAAGGCTGGGCATTTCGTATGTCAGCCCCTCCCCATCTGATCTGTCCTGGAGTGACAGCCCAGGTCACCCCTTCCCTCTCCCACCCCCACGTGGCCCGTGCTGCAGGGCCCAGTCCTCCTGCCCCGGCCACGGCCAGCTCCAGATACAGCTCACCCCTTCCCAGTGGTGCCACTCAGCTTCTCAGCTCCGAGACCCGATACAGTGGGTCCCTAGTTGCCCCCTGCCCCCGCCGTGCAGAGCAGGAGATGAAGCTGGGTGGCTAGGGGGCTGCCAGGCCTGCCGCCGAGCTAGCCGGGAAGCTGTGGGGCCTGTGCCGGGTGGACCTGGCCCTGCGGGCGCTCTGCTCACTGTGTCTCTGCCCCGCAGACGCCGCTGTGCAACGGCAGCATGGTGTGGAGCCTCAACCTGACGACGGGCGTGGTGAGGGCCTCTGGGCGCTGGGGAGGTGGCAGCGGGGGCCGTGGGCCTTGGGCTTGTCCTCTCTGACCTTCCCACGCATCTGGGGGCTTCCAAGAAAGCTTCAAGAGCTCCCCGCCCTCCCCTCATAATTGGGGCCCTTCCCGACCACCCAGACCACCCGTGCCAGGCCTCTCAGCAGCTGCCTCCCGGAAACTCACGGAAGGCGGCTGCCGAGCAGGGCCTGACGCCCGTGTCCCCTCCCGCAGTACTGCGAGGCCCTGGAGTCCCTGGCGAACGTGTCGGGCTGCAGTGCCCTCCAGAAGACCCAGCGGATGCTGAGGGGACTCTGCACGCACAAGCCCTCGGCCAGGGTAAGGTCCCCCCGAGAGCCCCCCAAGTCCACTCCTGGCAGCCCTGGGGTCACCCCGGGAGCTCCCGGGGACCTGGCCGAGCACCTGATGTGTGTGTCCACCCAGGGGACAGCAGGGACGTGGCCTTTAGGATTTGCAGGACGTGGGCTCAAGGGCTCTGACTCCTACCTGAGCCTCAGTTTCTCCACCTGTAAAACATAAGTTCCCACCTCGTGGGGACTTTGGGAGGATCAACGAGATAGTCCCTGGAAAACCCCTGGCAGGTGGGTCGGCCATGCCACTGGCGTCCCACCGACGTGGTGGCCTCTCGTCCTGCAGCAGGTCCCCGCCTCCAACACCCGAGACACCAAGATCGAAGTGGCCCAGTTCATCAAGGACCTGCTCAGACATTTAAGGAAACTCTTTCGAAAGTCCAACTGAAACCTGAAAAGCGAGCGTCATCGTCATTAGCAGAGGCGGCCCTGGCGGCTTAACTTGTAGATGGAGTTTGCTTTCAGACGTCAGGAATGTCTCAGGGGGTGGGAGGGCAGGAGGGTGGGGGGAGAGATTTCCTTAGCTTGGACCCCGGCCTGCGAGAGGTAGACGGGGTGGAGGACGGCCCCGGACGCACTGCAGCATTACAGTGGGCGCCGCCCTCGAGCAGCCCGGGCACATGTCTTTGTGGTTATTTATTATTGTGTGTTATTTAAACGCGTGTCTGTCAGCATGGGGTGTGGGGAGACCGCTGCTGCCGGCACTGGGAGCCGCGCCGGGGTGCCGGGGCCCAGCACTAACGCAGCGCACCAGGAGCCCCTGTACTGAGTACTGTGCACAGTTCTGCTACCTCACTGGGCCCCGGCCCGCCCCGAGGACAGGAGGGGCCGCAGCAGCCCCTCCTGTCTGCCAGCCGGCAGCCACCTCCAGCCAAGGAGTAATTTATTGTTTCCCTTTGTATTTAAAGTTAAGTATTAAATATCTTAGCAGAGAGTTACTAATATATAGCAGGGCGCCCTAGAACACTGAGAGTGGTGTGTGTGGTCCTTGAACAAACTGTTTCGTTGTGTCTGACTGAAGCCAGAAATAAAGATGGTGACAAATGTTAAGCCTGACCGCGTCTGCCTTTTACTTGGGCCTTTGGGGACACTGGTCTGTGGTCTCCGAGTCGGGGAGCTCTAGGGGGCATGCGGGTCACAGGAGGGGCTGGGAGGGGCAGGACCTGGGCTGAGAGAAAGCCCCTGGGGTGGGGGCTGCGAGCTGGAGGGACCCCCATCTGCTGCCCAGTGAGGAGGGAAGCTGGGGCTGGGTGTCGGGGTTCAAGGGGGCATCTGGGGTGGGTGGAGACCTAAGAAGTCATCTCATGGCCAGCTCCTGGGGGGCGGACGGCTGTGCCCGGCACCACCACACACGCATGCCCGGTCTCCCTCACCATGGCAGATGAGGCCCCGGGCTCCGAGAACACAGGTGGCTTGCCCAGGGCCACGGCTGCTTAGGGGTGAGGCCAGGACTTGGACCCAAAACTCACTCCAATTCCAAAGCCCATGCACTTAACCACCCTGCCTCTTTCTGTCCAAATGTCATCTGGCCTGAACGCATTATTTCTAAGACTGTCATTAACCAGTCTGGGTAGCCCCTGCCCCCACAGGGAGCTCAGCGCCTACTTTCTAGGGACAGCCCACTCCATGTCTGGACACCCCTCATCATCCAGGAGCGGACATCCGTCCTTCTGCGGACAAAGGTGCATCTCTGACCTGTGGCCTCTAGACCGTGGAGAGTCTGGAGTGGAGAGTGTGGCCGATGGCCCTGCTGGACCCTGCTGGGCCGCTCCTCAGAGCAGGTCCTGTTACTTCTCCCTGGCCCGGCCAGCAGGCCTCACGTACCCGGCAGCAGCGGTTCCACTGTGACTCTCTGGGAGGTGGCTCCAGAGGACAGGATGCCTTTGCAGCGGGCGGTGGGTCATTGGGGACCTTCCTCCCAGGAGAGCCCAGAGCGCTGTGGGAGTACCACGGTGACACTCAGAAGTCCGTGAAGCCAGCTGCCCACATGAGCAAGAGCTCACAGCTGTGTGTCACCCAGACAGCAGCAGCGGCACTGCAGGGACGTGACTGGGGGCTGATGACGGTGCCGGCTGCTCAGGAACTGGGGACTGCCCCTGCCCACTCAGCACCTCACCTCCAGCCAGAGTCTAGGGTTTTAAGGCCAGGAGGACATTTATGGATGAGTGATGGTTTTAATGCAGAATTTGGGGATCCATCCTCCAGTAGTGTCATCTTCGACCTTTGACCTCCACCCAACAGAAGCCTCGGCCTGTCTATCCAAAAGGAAGAGAGAAACATTTCCAGTGAAATTCTGCAGGGATCCCGCCAGAACAAAGCCCAGAGTGGAGGCTGGCGTGGGTAGGGCCCCTCAGGACTGTCCCCGGGACGCATTCCGGACAGCCGAGGGCAGGTGCAAGTGCAGGTGCAGCCACTAGGTGTCCACAGCTCCCCACAGCCTCGGCCTGCAGCGCCCGTCCCTGGCACCTCTGAGGCTGCCCCACCTGGGTACCCCGTGGTGGCTGCGTGGGAAGCAGGAGAGGACAGGGGCCCCCGCTGAGAGACGCTCTGCAGAGCCACAGAAGCCACGGGGAGGGGGCCCAGTCGGGAAAGCGAGAAAGGAAGAGAAGCAGCCGGCAAACAGGTGTGTCAGCCTCTGCTGCCGGAACAGCCTGGGGACTGACCCTCGGGGTATTTGCAGGGAGTTTTCTCTGACCACAGGGCCCCCCCAACTTCCCACACGGGGAGCCCTAAGCAGGCTGGGGGAGGGGGCAGGGGCCTGAGAGGAGATAAGCACAGCTGAGTGGGAGGGGACAGGCACGGCCCCACGGGGAGCCCCTGGGCACTGGGAACCCCGGGCCAGCAGGTTTCGCTGGAAGAGGGGCTGAACTCAGGCGAGAAGCGAGACACGCCAGTTTCCGGTGAGCTCAGCACCAAGTGCTCTGTGTGCTGCTGAGGAGTCAGAAAATGCTGCAGGGGCTTCTCCAAGGCCCCACGAGGGGCAGGCCCAGGGGGATGAGCCCACAGCTCATTCCCTGCGGCCGGGCACAGCTCGGGGCGGGCATTCACCCGTCAGCTCATCACTTTCCATTACGGTCATGGGAGTGTCTTGCACCATCTCCATCTGGCTGGTCCGTTGTGACAGGGCAACCTGCTCCTCCTCCCGTTGCTGCCCCCACAAGGAGGCCTGGCCGGTCAGGGCGGGGGCGGGGGCGGGGTGCTCCAACAGGGCAGCCCTGGGGGACACACGGCCCATTCCTCCCACTGCCGGCCCATTCCTCCCACTGCCGGCCCATTCCTCCCACTGCCGTCAGAGCAGGGGGCTGGATCCAGCCACTCTCCCACCCACGGCCACTCGCAAAGCCCGCCATTTCTCGGCTCCACCCAGAGCAGCAGGGCCCTGGTTTGCAGCGAACTTTCCCAGCTTGACTGATTTCTCAGCAGCCAGAGCGAGGCCCCGAGAGCCAGGGCCCCATGACAGACGAAGCCATATGACATGCCAGAAGCAATTGTCTACTTACGACCTCACTTTCTGTTGCTCTGTCCCTTCCCCTCCAGATGCCTCCTCTGACGGAAAGTGGCTCTTGGCCTCGGTCAGAGACGCCCCCAGCCCATGAGGTGAGGCAGGCCGTGGGGGCGCAGTGGGGCCAGATGCCAGCACAGTGCGTGTGATGTGTATGTGCTGATGCACATGTATGGTTTATATGTTACTTACATGAATGTCATGCAATACACAGATTATAAATAGGACTATATTATACGAACATATTATGTATTAATATCATATATTATATAAATATTAAATATACTTAAATTTGCTATCCACTTAAGTTTTTTAAATCTTTAACTACAAAAAATGTCAGACGTGGCACAAGAACAACTCGCAGGCATCCCATGCCCGGCTGCGACAACCAACGACTCACAGCCAGTTCTGTGTCACCTCCACCCAGCCCCGCTCCGCCACGACATCCTAACTAGAAACTCAGACCCAGGGGAGGCCGAGGCTTCGGGATGGAGGTCTGGGGCGTGTGGGGGTCGCGTGCTGGTGCCGAGCTGTGTGAGCACCTGAAGGACGAACTGCGGACCAAGCTCAAGGGCAGGGGCCAGCCCCACCCTGGCAGCTGCCCCCACCGCACCTGGAGGCCGCCTCACGATGTCACCAGGTACCGAGTGTCACGGCTCAGCCCAGGACTCGCTTCTGCCTCATCTGCTCACTGCCCGGCTCAGGCCTGGATGCCACAGGGCTCCTGCTGCCAACTCCCCTCCGCCTCCCCACCTTGCAGTGTGGCTGGAGCCCCAGCTCCTGCTTGCACCCTGGCTGGGCCCCTGCGTGCCCCCAGCAGCGGCCGTCCCCACACAGGGCAGCTCCGCAGCCCACACAGCGCCCGTGGCTCCGCACTCTCCTCACCGCCACGTGCAGCCCGTCCCAAGCGCATTGATAATGGTGGTGACAGACTATCTTCTGAGGGCACCACACCAGCCTGTCACGACTGTCCCCGCGTGCAATCTTCACACAGCCCTGCCATCAGCCCAGTGTTGCAGGGAAGCCTGGACAGGCTTCCACGGCCACCAGAACTGGGACTCAGAACCAGCCAGGTCCTGGGGGCTCCAGGACGCCTGGTCTCACCTTGGACGCTGTGCTGGGCGGGCGACGATGGGACCCACAGGCCCCACAGCCCTGCCCCCGCTGAGGCTTGCTCCCCACCCTCCCTCAGGTTCCCGTGTCTCGCGAGTGTGAGGAGGTGCATAGGCCCTGCACACGCAACGGAGGAGGAGGCAGGCGAGCTTCTCGGGGCTCGGGCGGAACAGGGACCACAGAAAGGGCTGCAGAAGCGAGAGCCCATCAGCCGGGCCCCTGCAGCGGCTGCTCTGCCAGCTCCCCTACTTCTGTGGGGCTCTCGACACGGCGGCCTGGAGTCCAACCTCTGCGGTCAGCTGGTGCCCTGAGCTTGGCAGGGCGGGGGCCGAGGCCGCCTTCTTGCCCCCATCTGTGGCGTGGGGGGTGGTCCCCTCGAGGTGGGGCCGGCTGTGGGGCAGCACCGGGACCCCCCACTGCAGACTCGGGGTGGCCTCCAAGCTGGGGCCCTGCTTGAGGCAGCTCTTCAGAGTCCCGGGAGAGTCGGGGCCTGTCCGCCCCTGACATTTTACCAGCACCCCGTCCTGCATGAAACGCTTCCCACTACAGCACCCCCAGCAGCGTCTGCTTCCTGCAGCGGGTCCGGACACAGACGGGGCTGTGGCGGCGAAGCCAACCGCGACTCACCACAAACAGGGACGGCAGCTCAGAGACTGGAAAGGAGACACATTCAGGAGGGACACATGGGGAAACCTGCCTGGCAAAACCTCCACCGCCCTGTCCCGAGTGGCTCTGCCTGACAGAGTGAGTATCGCAGACCTTCCACGAACCAAAGACATAATTAATATTAATACTAATGACAGGGCTGTCATGTACATAGCATTCCCTGTGCCGGCTACTCTAAGTATTTTGAAACTTAAACTCATCTGTTCCTCAGAACAACCTCACAAGGCAGGTGCAACCGTCACCCCCATTTTACAGATGAGGCCGAGTGCGGCCCAAGGGACACAGCAAGGAAGCAGAGCAGCCGGACGCGCTACCCGGGCCCCATGTCCGATCTCCGACCACCCCAAGCTACAGCAGCCTCTAGCAACAGACGCCTTTTGGGGGGCGGGGGGCGTGCCTAGCACCTTCCAGAATCCCCCACTTGCTCCTCACAGGAATTCCACAAGGAAGAGCCACAGTACTCCCATTTCACAGATGAGGAAGCCAAGATCCAGAGAGAGCCAGTGATCTGCCCAGGGTCACAGAGCTGACAAGTGGCTTGTCTGCTGGACTCCAAAGCCCAGTGCTCGTAGCTGCCATGCCCTGGGCCTGAGCAGAAAGCTCCTCAGCCACGAGGGGCAGGAGCTGGTGCTCAACTCCCATGCAGGGCAACGGGAGGGGCCTGGGCAGACGCAGCCAGAGCCCGGCAGAGTCCTTAGCTCCCTCCGGCGCCTGCCTCACACCACCCAGACATAGCCCATGGCTCCTGTGGGTGGCCGTGACGGTGGCTGCCGCTCTCCTCTCCATCCCTAACATGCAGGCACCTTCCTGACGTCTGCCCGCCAGCCTCACGCACGGTGGCCATGGCGCGGCCACTGCAAGGAAGGGCGGCCCGTCTCCTCCTGCCCTCTGAGGAGCCATTCTGGTCGCTCTCGGATGTTCCAGAAAGTTTATCTTTTTTTCCTTGTCCCCACTCAACCATAGAGACAAACAATACAAGCTGTATCTGCTTCTAAGCTAAAGGTTCCCGTGTCATATTCCTGTTCTGACTCATCATCTTTGCCCCCATAGCCTCGAGCGCAGGGTCTATCCCCCGGGAGTGCTCAGAAAAACACAACCTGAATCCCTGAACGGCTGTTCTGCAGCTCAGACCTGTGGAACCTGCCCTCCCCTCCAGTCCTCCCGCGTCCTCCACATGCCTCAAGAACTCATTCAGTGGAACTCTTCCCACTGTCTGCACTCTCAACAAGCTCACTCCATTGTCAACAGGAGTCTCTGCTCCCCTCCACTCCAAGTAAGAGTTAATCCAGACTTGAATCCTCACCTATCCTGGAAGGAACTGTGTGCTCTTCCCATAAACTCTCTCCCAGTCTGTGGAGTGAAGAAGCAACTTTACCCAAAGAGAGATCTGGCCGTTGTCCTAGCTCCTGGGAGGTCTGACCAGCTACCAACCTTTGGAATCAAGAATTTGGCTTGTCTTTTGTCACTAGCTCCTAGGAGGCAGCCCCCAAATCCTTGGGATTTCCCAAGTAGTAGGAGAATCTTTGCTATTTCTGGTGGGCCCTGAGGGTTTATGCCAGTGAAGTGATTCATGGTGGGCTGGGCCCTTAGACAGCTTCTGCTAACAAGGTGACCCAGGATGGGGCTGGCCATGCCCCTGAGTTACTGTGACATCAGCCTGGCCTCCAGGAAAAGGGTTTGGAAGAAGAGCTCAACTGCGTGACCAATCAGCTGTGCCTACAGATGAAACTACAATAAAATCTCTGAACACTGAAGCTCAGGGGGTCTCCCTGGTTTGAGGGGGTTGACGCAGTGATGCACAGGCACAAGACCATGAAGGGTCCTAAAGGGTGTTGGGATCCTCCTACATCTGGCCCTCCGTGTCTCCTCTTTGGCAGTTCAGATTTGCATCCTTTTGCTACGATAAAACTGTGACCTTATATATAGCCCTTTCCTGAGTTCTGTGAGTCGTCCTTGTAAATTGTTGAACCTGAAGGGGCAGTGGAAACCCCCAGATTTGCAGCCAGTGGGTCAGAAGTGACGGAGGACTGGGGACTGCTGAGATTGCAGCTGGAGTCTGCAGTGAGGGCTGCCTCGTGGAGCCCGTGCCCTCAGCCCGTGAGGTTTGCCTCAGCTCCGGGTCGTTGGTGTCGGAAATCACTACAATGAGTCTGGCAGCCCCTCTGCAGGGCCCCAGCGAAGGATCACAAATACGGTCCAAGGACCTTTCTGATGCAACTATCCAGACTCTCTCCTTCACAGAGTTTGCAGCACTGATCCAAAGTCACACATACACAATGGAGCACTGCTCAGCCTTACAAAAGACACTCGTGTCATTTGCGACAATATCGATGGACATGGAGGACGCCATGCTAAGTGAGGACAGCCAAGCCGCACGACCTCACTCACATGTGGCGTCCTAGAAAGCCTGACTGGCAGAGGCCTCAGACAGGAGACTGCTGGGCACAGGGGCTGCGAGGCGGGGATGGGAGGACGTTGGTCAAAGCACACAGAACATCAGTTAGACGGGGAATTAGCACAGGAGGCATGGTGACTATAGTTGGTAACAATGTATTGTATACTCAAAAATCACTAACAGTAGATTTTAAGTGTAATCATCACAGATAAATGGTAAGTATGTGAGGTACTAGTTGACCTTCCAGAGGAAATCAGTAGGGAGAAGAGGGTCAGAACCCAGGGAGCGGCCTGGCGAGGAAGGCAGTGGGCACGCAGGGCCCTCTTTGGCAGCGGGAGGCTCGTGCGCAGGGGCCTGGCATCTGAGTGCACGGTGGGTCCTCGAGTTCATTGTTGGGGTGAGGCAAGGAGCCCCTCAACAGGCCCACATGCATCAGATGGAAGCCCAGGCTTCGTGCTGGGGCACTGACAAGAGAACTGCTTTATGAGTTGGTTAAACTGTGTTTTTTTCCTAATTAGCTGAGGATGCGTTTAGGTTCTTTTTTTTTTTTTTTTTTTTTGAGACAGAGTCTTTCTTTGTTGCTGGGGCTAGAGTGCTGTGGCGTCATCATAGCTCACTCTAGCCTCAAACTCCTGGGCTCAAGCAATTGGCTACAGGTACACACCACCACACTAGGCTAATTTTTCTATTTTGGGGAAAGACAGGTTCTCACTTTTGCTCAGGCTGGTCTTGAACTCCTGGCTCAAGTGATCATCCTACCCCAGCCTCCCAGGTAGCTGGGACTACAGGTGCCACCATACCTGGCTAATTTTTTCTATTTTTAGTAGAGAAGGTGTCTCACTCTTGCTCAGGCTGGTCTCAAACTCCTGGCCTCAAGCAATCCTCCTGCCTCGGCCTCCCAGAGTGCTAGGATTACAGGTGTGAGTCACCGCACCCAGCCTTAGGTTCCATTTTAAAAAGTGGTCATTCCTGAAACCCCAGCATAGACACACCTGGCCTAGGGCCTCCTAGGTAAAAAGAGTAAAGACCATGCGGACCTGAGAGGACCCCAGCTAGGCCCAACCTGATGTCATCTGTCTTTCCCCAGAGCCCTTGACTGGGAAGAACATCCTGTCCCAGCGTGAGGACAGGAGATGGCCTGTGCCTGTCATTCTCCTCTCCGCAACAGGAGAGGCTCCGAGATGCCACCCGTACTTGGAAGAAGCTAGGTTAAGATACCGTTCAAGTTGAACTTTCTTGATATTACTCTATCTTTCCCCAGGAGGCCTGCACTAGAACAAATTCGGACACCTGAGGCCTCTTCCTTCTATGCAAAGCAAAAAGCCAGCAGCAACCCCCAAGCTGATAAGATTAATCTGCACAGCAAATTATGGTGTAATTTCCTATGCTGAAACTTTGTAGTCAATTTTAAAAAAAGGTTTCATTTTCCTATTGGTCTGATTTCACAGGAACATCTTACCTGTTTCTGTGAGGCATTTTTTCTCCTGGAAGAGAGGTGCTGATTGGCCCCTAACGAATGACAGTCGGGTGTAATGAAAATTTCCAATGTAAACTCATTTTCCTTTGGTTTCAGCAATTTTAAATCTATATATAGAGATTTCTTTGTTAGAACTGCATTGTTAGCTTCTCCTGATAAACTAATTGTCTCAGATTGTCATTGCAAACAGAGATCTATTAATGGGTCTCACCTCCCAGATGATCCCTCCTCTGTTCTGCCTCCTAGCATGTGCCGGCAGCATGGCCCACGGACACAGATGCGGCGTCATCTTAACAGAGAGCATCAAAACTCTGAACATCCTCACAGAGAGCAAGGTGAGTATCTGGCACCATCTCTCCAGAAGTTCTGGGGATACTGCGGGTTTTTCTAGACCATGAGAAGAACATCAGAGCCGCTGGGGAAGTTGAAGCTGGGATTGGTAGCTGGCGGCGGTGCAGCAAGACTTCTCTCGACAGACACTCTTTTCCAAGGGAGTGTAGGAAGTTTTCTCCGTGGGAGGAGGGAGATGCTCATCGAGGGTCTGTGTGTCTAGTGGGAGGCTAATCCTGTCTCTCGCTCTCTCGTTCCTGCCTGGCCCAGACTCCGTGCACCGAGCTGGCTGTAGCAGACGTCTTTGCTGCCCCCAAGGTAAGAAGCGTCCCTTGGTCCTTTGGGCAGTGGGTGACTCGGGAGAGGAGCGCCGTCCACAAGAGTTTGCACTTGAAACTTGTTTAATGGGAAACGGGAGGGCACACATTAACCATGACACGTTAAACATTTCCAAGGGATGAGAATTCTGATCTTTACTCTTGAGCATGATTTGATGTTTCTGGTTTCACTTGATTTAGAAGATGTGTAATAGAAGGCTTAGATTTTGTAATTCTAATTCAGATCCTGGGTAAAGAAAAGCTCTCTGGGGCTTCACCCAGCACTTGGCATAGCACCTGGAATGCAGGGGACGTTCAGTAGAGGCCTGTTGAATGAGAGAACTTTTCTGGCCCATACATTTCTGAAACACCAAACACTCTCACAGAAGCAGATATTGAGATTACAGGCTGAAGGAGCTTTCATTTTGTCTAAGAGACTTCCTATGGCAACAGAAGAGGTATTGCCAGAGCCCCTCCTCTCCCACAGCCTGGTCACCTAACAGCCCCCTGGGTTCCAGGGTCTGGGACCCCTCAGCCTGCCCTGTCCTGCCCAATTCCCCTCCAGCTGGGTCCAGAACAGTCCCGCCGGACAGGTCCGACACCCCCCCCCATGGCTGCTCCTGTGCATCTCACCCCCGCCCCCCATCTGCAGTGGGAGGAGACAGATCTGACAGTTGATAGTGCGTTTTCTCTGACAAACACATGATACAGCCGTATCGATAGCTTTGTGCACTGCAGTTCCTGTTTTCATGGAAACACACGACTGAGAATGAAAGCCCTAAAGCCTCAATTTACCAGTGGTCTCTGAACTACCTGCTTTCCACGGGAACTAGGGGGGATGCCTGGGCCAGGAGCGAAGCCCTGTGGGTGGGGCAGGGCCACCTCGGCCACTCAGGCCGCAGAACGGCCCTTCCTGCTCCATGGGGAAAACTGCTCTTCAGACCTCCATCTGCATCATCTCACTGCATTATAGATTATCCCAGGAGTCTGACACAGGAGATTCTGAAGGACAAATATATGCACACACGCATATGTAATTTATATATGTACACAAAATCTCCAAGCCCTTCCAACCCAGGCGGTTTGTGCCAGGGCTGCTGCTCTGCTGAGAGGCTCTGAAAAAGCCCCGGGACGGGACCAGCCCACCAGGACCTGGCCCTGGAGGAAGAGCCAGGGTTGGAAGTGGGAATGCGCACAGTTCCAGCCCCAGTTCCGCCGCCGTCACCTAGCTGTGGCCTTTTGCGAGTATTCACACCCCATCACGCCCTGGTTTCCACACTGGAAGATCTGAAAGTGATTATGAGGTGATTTGAGGGATGGCTGGAATCCGGCTCTTGCGTCAGTGGAAAGTGTTGCTGTCAGATGTCACACACTGATCAAAAGCCCACACCAGGAGGTCTGTCCCTCACGGGAGTGTCTGGAAGGAGCCACCTGGGAGAGTTCTTCTGTGGCAGTGACTACATTAGAGTTCTAACTGGTTCCTGACCAGCCTCGTTTAGGACCATGAAAACCCACTGGCCTTGTCCCAGCTGAGTCGACAGTACTCACTCTCCCCGAGCAGCTCTGAGCCAAGTTTGGCCAGGCGGCCGGGAGCAATCCTGGGGCCACTGCCGGACACTCCAGCAGCAGAGGCCAGATGGGCAGGGGGGAGCAGGAAGCCGGGGTGGGACAGATGGGGCATCCTTTTGCGGCAAAACCAATGGAACTAAGAGTTTAAGGCCTTTAACGAAAACTGCCTTTAGAATTAGTTCCTTTAAAGTTTTTCCATTGCATGCCAGCTCTTTTCAATTCCTATTTTATCCTCATCACCTTTAGAAAGTCCTTTGACTAATATCTTTAGATGGTTTTTTCCTATATCATGTGGCCACACACTGGTCAAAACTAAGATGCACTCTAATTCCTATGCTCCAACCGGAAGCTTCAGAAAGTCTCACTAGGTTTTGGTGGGAAACTAAGCAAAGGGGCTCTTCTCTGGACCTTCCTGAATCTCGCTGTTCTCTCTACAGCATCGTGGTGCCTGTCCACCTCTGACACACGGTGGCTGCGGCCTCCTCACCACCCCTCGTGCTCCCCACCTGGCTCTGTCCAGGGAGCCCAGAGGGGTGTGGTGATGGGTGGGAAGTTTCTTGACTCCCAGAGCCCAGAGAATCCGACACTGCTCTAAATTTCCAACTAAGATCAGGGACCACGAGTGACTCTTAGCAGTTCATTAAGTAAATGTCCTACCACTGGCCCTTCCCTTGGGACATCACCCCGCAGAGGGGAGGGGAAGTTCCCATGGTCTGGGATTCCAGTGCTTCAGTCTAGACCCTCCCAGAAAAACCTTAAAATAGGAAGTGCCCTTCTAGAACTTAGCCTGCATACATAAGAGATGAACACAGAGATTTACGCAGACTACTTACTCTCAGCCACATTTACAGAAACAAAAAACGACGACAGCAGGGGATTGATAGATTACGGTGCAACTGTGCAGCGGGTTTCTACGCAGCTCGCAAGCCCGTTCATAAATGCTATGGAATGACTTAAGAAAAATTCTCATTGGGTGCATTAAGTCCGAAAGGGTTACAAAACAGCACTAATAGTTGATGCCAATTTTGGAAAAAAATAAAGTATTAAGAAAACAAAGGAAGATATTTACTAAAATATTAACTGTAGTTATCTCTGACTGGTGGGATGAGTGGATTCGTTTTTGTTGACTATGTATTACCTTTATAGCAAACATATATTACCTTGATCATCAGAACAAATACATAACTGTAAGAACTGAAAAGCTACACAGTGTGTCTCAAATAACCCCCTGGGATCTTGTCACTGCATGTTCTGATGCAGCAGGTCTGGGTACGGCCTGCGCTGCTCATCCCTAACGAGCTCCAGGCAACGACTAGGCTGCTGGGCCGTGGCCCACACTTTGAGTAGCAAGGGAGAGAGCGAGTCCTGGCAGAGGCTAGACGTAGCTTTCTTTATCTGAACTAGATAAGGAAACCAGCTCCAGCTGACACTGATCTCCAAGGTCTGTGCCTTTGTTCTTCAGTGGAAAATGAGGGGATGTGCCAGGCCCGGTCCCCAACAAGAGCTGTTTCCTAGGAAGAGCCACGTGGCCAGGCCACGTCAGAGCTGCGAGCATCCCAAAGAGGCCCTGACCATGCTCCACTTAGGCCAAAGGGCCTCTCTCCAAGGCCCAGCTCAGTGGCCCCCTCTCCCAGAAGCGGGTCCCACCCAGATCTCCCCAGGCCAGACTCCTGGAGCACCTGGCCCTGATCTGGGCACTTACCTCTTGCTGTGTGGGGAAGCACCTTGTCTTCTCACGTGGACCACGAACCTCGGCACACACTGCTTTCTCCCACGGGGAGGGCCGAGTGAGGAGCCGCCCATGGCAGCAGCATTCAGGCCACAGGATGTAGGATTTTCAGGGAAACCTGGATTTTAAAACCTTGTAGGGATGAAAGCAGAATCCAAGTAAGCTCAGGTGGGAACTTTCCAGGCAGGAACAGCTCACATGGTACAAAGACAGAGACACGGGCAGTAGGGACGGAGGGTCCTGCATGTCCCCCCACTCTGCCACTTATCTGGTGGGGCAGCTTTACTCAGGTCCCTCTCAGCAAAGCCCTCCAAGGGGAAGAAACGGGAGGTTCTGGGGAGGAGGCTGCTGCATTGGCAGGTAGCCGGGAGCCATGTGTGGAGGCCTGTGACCATGACCGGCCCCCTTCCTTCAGGGGAACATGAGCAAACTCACCTTCTCCATCTGTCCTCCTGGAAAGAAGAAATCGGGAGGAAAAATCTCCCTGCGGGGTCTGAAGCAGAGGGAGCACACAGCTACCTGTGGCCTTTCTCTTTCTAGAACACCACTGAGAAGGAAATCTTCTGCAGGGCGGCGACCGTGCTCCGGCAGCTCTACAGTCACCGCGAGAACGCCATCTGCAGGGGCGCGGCCACACCGCCACGGTTCCACAGCCACCAGCACGTGATCAAACTCCTGAAAGGACTGGACAGGAACCTCTGCAGCATGGCACACGCGGTGAGCTGACAGCTTGTCCTCACACGCGGCTGCCTCGCTTCTAAACGCTCCTCCTTGGCTGGGCCCGGTGGCTCACGCCTGCAATCCCAGCACTTTGGGAGACCAAGGTGGGAGGATCGCTTGAGGCCAGGAGTCTGAGACCAGCCAGGGAAACATAGCAGTCCCCCATCTCAAGAAAACATTTTAAAAATTAGTGGGTATGGCAGCGTGTGCCTATAATTCCAGCACTTCGGGAGGCTGAGGTGGGAGGATCGCTTGAGGCCAGGATTTTAAGGCTGTAGTGAGTAATGATCACACACGGTGCTCCAGCGAGGGTGACAGAGTGAGACTTTGTCTCTCAAAAAACAAAATTTCTCCTTATGAGTTATAGTACTCTTGATGAATAAGCCCATTTATTCAACAAGTATTCATTGAAGCTCTACGAGTGCCAGGTACTGTTCCAGGCACTGGAAACACAGCATTAGAGGTGAGAAGGCAGAGTGGGATGCTCTCGTGGAATGTTCCACTGGGGGAGCTAGAAAAACACACATGTAATCTGACGTCCCGCAGCAGTAAGTGCTATGAAGACAAATACAGGAATAAAGAGGGCACTGACTTAGGAGCTGGTGACGTTATCCAAGCAGATGTTTAAATTAAGTGAGGGAGAAGTCAGTGACCAACTGGGGAAAGAACATTCCAGGCAGAAGGAAGAGCTATGCTAAGGCCCTGAGGTGGAAATGAGCTTCCTATGCTCACAGCTCAGCGGGAAGGCCCGTGGGGCTGCATCAGAGTGAGCAGAAGGGACTTTCCTAGGAGACCAGATCACATAAGGCTTTTGGACTCAGCTCCAAGTACAGTGGGAGACACCTGCAGAGTTCTGAGCAAGGCCAAGAGGAGGATCTCATGTCTGTGATTTAAAATGACGACTCTGCGTGGTTGACAGACTGAACACAAGTACATAAGCACGGTGTCCTGCTGGGAGGCTCCATAGCAAACCAGGCTGGAGATGATGGTGGCTTGGACAGGGTGGAAGCAGTGGAGGTCCCTAGATCTGGGGCATAAACTAGAAATAGAGACAGAGGGATTTGCTGGCAGAAGATTGGTCGTAAGGGGTGAGAGACAGAGGGGTAAAGGGTGACCTCTTGGTTCCTGCCAAAACCCCGTTGGGGATGGTTGGTGGTATTTGAAGAGACATGGAAGATGGGTCAGAGCAGGGCTGGAGGCTGAGCAGAAGATCCCGGTTAGATTTTGTCCGTGGTGAGTGTGAAGTGCCTATTGATAGCCAAATGGAGATGCTGAGAAGACGCTAGATAAGCCTGGATCTCAGGGGAGAGGTCAGAACTTGCAGTGGAGAGCAGAGAGTCCTCAGACAGATGCTGTGTAAAGTCTCAATGACAGACAAAGGGAGAGACCCAAGGCCTGAGCCTGGAGGCCCCCAACTATTCAAGTCAGGAAGAGGAGGGTGTAGCGACACAGGCTGAGAAGCAGCAGCCAGGGAAGCAGCGCAGAACTGGAGAGAGCGTGGTGCCCAGAAGGCAGGTGAGGAAACTCTTCCAGGAGGAAGTGATCACCTGTGTCAAACGTCCTACAAGGTCAGGTGAGAGGAAGACAGAGAAGGGCCACTGGGCTCAGCGTGACAAAGTCGTCAGGATGCTGGTGTCAGCGGGGGCAGGGAAGGAAGCCGACTGTAGCTCCCTCACTAGAGGACTGGGAGGGGAGAGGGGAACAAAGGGGACAGTGAGAATAGAAAGCTCTTCTGAGGTGTTTTGCTGTAAGACTGTGGAGAAACAGAACAGCTGGAGGGCAGGTATGGCAAGAGGGCAGCTCTTTTCAGGTGGGTGTACACTCAGCACGTCAGTAACCAGTAGAATGATCCAATGGAGAAGGGAGAACTGATGACACAGGAAAGAGGGAGAATGATTAGAGGACAGAAGCCCCTGCAGCCAGGTGACACTATCTAACATTGGGTGGAGGAAACGGCATTAGTGGAAAGCAAGGACGTCCCTCCCCTCCTGGGCCTATCGCCTTATTTATGAGGCAAGGTAAGAATAGGGACCTGAGGCCGGGCGCGGTGGCTCACGCCTGTAATCCTAGCACTTTGGGAGGCCGAGGCGGGCGGATTGCTCAAGGTCAGGAGTTCGAAACCAGCTTGAGCGAGACCCCGTCTCTACCAAAAATAGAAACAAATTAATTGACCAACTAAAAATATATATAGAAAAAATTAGCCGGGCATGGTGGCGCATGCCTGTAGTCCCAGCTACTCGGGAGGCTGAGGCAGTAGGATCGCTGAGCCCCGGAGATTGAGGTTGCTGTGAGCCAGGCTGACGCCACGGCACTCACTCTAGCCTGGGCAACAAAGTGAGACTCTGTCTCAAAAAAAAAAAAAAAAAAAAGAATAGGGACCTGACATGACACACATTCTCCCCATTAATGCTCTCACATTATGAAGCAGGCAAGGAGGCCAACGATTGTCCCCTCTTACAGAAGAAATTGAAGCTTTTATAGATTAAGCAGTCTGTCCCAGGCAATGCAATTCATAAGCAGTATGCTGAGATTCACACTGAAGCAGCAGCCTGGTGGCAGGTGTCTGGACTGTGTCCCACTGTTAGGGCCACTGGGCGGTGGGGCTGCTATTTCATGGGCAGGAGAGCGACAGAAATGAACCTCCCAGATGTCCAGGCGGCCACACGGGCAGGTCTGAGCAGCACCTGGCTGTGACCAGAGACTGCGCAAGCCCTGAAGGAAGACAGGCAATTGTGGTGCACTGACATTTCTAGAAGTGTAAGTAGCACATACCAAGAATAGGCAAACCCTGCTGGCCTCGTGGCAACATTAGTTAGGCTCCTCATCAAGCTGGACTGGAGGCCCTGGTTTGACAAGGCTGTTTGGGTGGCAGGTGCCGGAGTGGGCATGCTGGAGTAGACGGGCATGACAGCAAAACTCACGCGCTGACCCCTGCAAGCTAACGAGATGACTCTTTTGCAGAGCCGCTGCCCTGTGAGTGAAGCCAAGCAGAGCACGCTGAGAGACTTCTTGGAAAGGCTAAAGGCGATCATGAAGGAGAAATATTCAAAGTGTCAGAGCTGAATGTTTTAATTTATGAGTTTTTAATGGCTTTATTTTAAAAATATTTATATATTTATAATTCATCATAAAATAAAGTATATGTAGACTCTAACAGCAATGGCATTTGATGGTATTGGCTATGTTTGCTTGACAAATGAAGTTATGGTTTGCAACCTTTAGGGAGACCAGTTTAGTTCACTGAGAGACTACAAATGTGGTGGGAGCAGAACAGGAAAGACCATGTCCCTCCCAAGGGGTCCCTCTCTAGTTGGGGACACAAAGCACAAGACAGTTAAAGGATACAAGGCCACACAAGATGTCAATGACGTGTGCGAGAGTTCGAGTTCACGAGTCCTACTGACTCTACCATATATTTCTGAATAGAAAAGGCATCACCTGGATGCTTAGAACATGCTTCTCCCACTGACACAAGGGTTGTTACATTGAGTCTCTAGAAAACATAAGTAACCTTCACACACTACATGGCTTTGCAGTGAACAACACTTACAACCATAATGTAAATTCCCTTGATTAGTGTCAGAACCAACCAACAGAGCACAGAAGACTTAATCACGGTAAGAGAACAGACTATCAGTGCTATTCGCCTGACGCTATGAAAGGAACAGCTGGAAACAGTTGGGAGGTAAAACAGAAGTAAAGAAAGAGAGGCAGGGCCCTGAAATCTCCAACTCATATGGAGAAGGCATCAAATAACACTAAGGCTCATGGAACAAGAACAAGAAATATAGGTATTTATTCAAAACTGAACTGGTAATAGAACTAAAAATAATTTCCTATAAAAAAATTTAGAAGCCAGGCACTGTGGCTCGTACATTTTTTCCCAGCTACTTGGGAGGCCAAGGCAGGAGGCTTGCTGGAGGCCAGGAGTTCGAAGCTGCAGTGAGCTGTGATTGTGCCACTGCACTCCAACCTGGGTGACAGAGCAAGAGCCTGTCTCTAAAACCTAAATTAAAAATAAAAATAAACAATTTGGAAGTAGCAGTGTAAATTACATAAACTCTCATTTTTCAATAGGGAAATCAACATATAATATTTAAAGTTGATAAATCAAAATATAATAGTAATAGTGGTCATGAACTGATTATTATGGCTGGGGATGGGTACGTGGGGGGTTGACTGTACTATTCTACTTTCATACATATTTGAAAGTTTTTATAATAGAAAGTGAAGGAAAAAAACCACTAATGAATGAATTCAGAAGCCTTTGGAATTAGGACGCCAGCCACTGGAAACACCACAAACAAGAAAGGGAAGACGCTTTGCTAGGAATGGAGCTAGGACTAAGCAAGTGGGCTGGAGACCTGGCTTTCGACTACTGAGTCCCTGTGTCACTACGTGCGTAAATGATAAATTGTTTTTTAAAATTAAAGAATAAAACTATAAGGGCAATACATGTGGAAAAACTGGAACCCTACACATTGCCAGTGGGATTGGAAAATGGTGTGGCCACGGCAGAAAACGGTTGGCTGTTCCTCAAAAAGTTAAACATAATTTATGACCCAGAAACTCCAATCCTGGCTATATCCCTAAGGGCACTGAAGATACATGTCCACACAAAAACCTCTGCACGAATACATTCATAGCAACATTGTTCATAATAGCAAAAAAGCAGACACAATCCAAATGTCCAAACTGATGAACATATAACAAAATGTGGTATACCCATATGATGGAGTATTATTATTTGGCAATAAAAAGGAAGTGCTGATATATACCACAAAGTGGATGAACCTGGGAAACATTACGTAGAGCAGACGCCAGACGCAACAGTCCACAAATGGCATGATTCTATGTATCTGATACATCCAGAACAGGAACATCCAGAAAGGCAAACACAGAACATTGGTTGCTAGATGCTGGGGGTTTGGAGGGACAGGCAGTGACTGATGATGGGGATGGGGTTTCCTTTGGGGGTGACAAAAACGTTCTGACACTAGATAGTGGTGATGAATACACAATTCTATGAAAACACTAAAAACCACTGAATTATACACTTTACTTATTTTTTTTGAGGCACGGTCTCATTCTGTTGCATGGGCTAGACTGCCATGGTGTCAGCCTAGCTCACAGCAACCTCAAACTTCTGGGCTCAAGCGATCCTCCTGCCTCAGCCTCCTGAGTAGCTGGACTACAGGCATGCGCCACCATGCCTGGCTAAATTTTTCTATATATTTTTAGTTGTCCAGCTAATTTCCTTCTATTTTTAGTACAGATGGGGTCTCACTCTTGCTCAGGCTGGTCTCGAACTCCTGAGCTCAAACGATTCTCCTGCCTCAGCCTCCCAGAGTGCTGGGATCACAGGCATAAGCCACCGCACTCAGCCTTGAATTATACACTTTAAAAGGATGAATTTCATAGTACGTGAAGTATATCCCAATAAAGCTCTTATTTTAAAGAAATTAAAGAGAGAACAAAACAAAACCAAGTTTCAGGCCATCGAAACTTGCCTTTTGGAGACATTCTCTGCGAGAACATGGATCTCCTAAGAGTGACTGAGCACTCTTCATCATTGCTTACACACAGGTGGCAAAAATTAATACTAGTACTAAAATTACACCAAAATATGTTACATCTTTTTAACCCTTTCAAAATAAGGGAATAAATCAAAAGCTTAAAGTCTCACCCTGACCACAGCCAGTTTCACCCTGCCCACATAAAATACCAGCATGCCAAGGGCAATAAAAAATTGAGAGTCATGGAGGCTTCTGAGGCCAATCGGAGAAGATGTGCACTGAGAATTTTAGTTTCCTTTCTTCTCTGACTGAGCCTCATTTGCATTTGATGGCCAATGTGCACCGTAGTCTGCCACAGGATGTGACTGTAGGTTATAGTCTGTACATGAGGCCAGGATGGCGAAGGAAAGACTGTCATGAGAAAGACACAGAACAGGCCATGGGAGACACGCAGCGGCTCTAAGTGGGTTTGTCGTGAGACAAGCTTTGCTGGTCAAGGTGCAACTGACTTTCCCATTCACCCCCAGACAGGCTATTCTGGACTCTAGATGGAAACATCCAACAACAAACCTCTGAATTTGCCAAAAGAATGAGAGAACAGGAATCGAGGAGGATACACATGAGAGTAAAAAACCTCAGGATTAAGTGAAAGTTAAAGTGTTGTCATTTAAGCACATTCACTTAGGAAACTCAGCCCCAGCTCCACGGGACATGACCCTTCTCTGCACATGGAATGAGTGACATTGACCACAAAGGCCAAACCGCACCCTCCTGGCTATCAGCAACCTCCACCCTTTGCCACAAATAGGTATCTCTAACTGGCATCTGGTAGGGAATATTTACTGGATAAATGAATGGGGGGAAAAACCCCATTTGGCTCACATCCATAGCTGGCTGCCTTTTATCGAAACATTTGTGGGCCACAGTTAGAAATGCTGGCTCGGACAAAAATGCAACAGGGGTTTTCTTGCTGCCACTGGTCTGCCTGAGCCACGGAGCCTGCCCTGTTTTTCTTCACTCTCCTCCACGTGCCATCTCAGGGTGTTCAGATCACCTGAGCACAGGCATCTCAAGATAAAGTATGACGAACGGCTTTCTCACAGAGCAAAGTCCAGCCTGGCCTCTCGATTCCTCCCAGCTTCTGCCGAGGGCCAGGCAGGCCCTTTTTCCAGTTATAGGAAAAAGGAAAAACCTGATTTCAAGGTTCAATTCATCAGTTCAAGTTGGGGTTCCGTTCCCAGGTGCAGCACTAAATCCCCTAGTTAGCTGCCACGCCATCTCCTAAATTGGTTTTTCGCCCTTAAGCACCCATTCTCTCCACAGCTCTCTGAAGTGCCTCTCTTCTAATACACCCTTCCTGTCAACTCCTTCCCAGTCCAACTGTCAGTCTCTAAGCTGTCTGCTTCTTCTTATTTCCTACCAGCCAGCGTTGAACCAAACACAAGTATGTTTTCATGTTGTGTGTGTTCACTGCACACCTGGGTACCTGTCAGGAAACATGAGTAAAGAGAAGACAAGACACCTTTGCTCCCTCAGTCTAACCCATCCTGAGAGCAAGAGAAACAGCTGGGAGGGCTGGTGACTGTTTCAGCCCCCAGGACACAGGTGTGTCCATCATCTGCTCTCCCAGCTGCCATGTCTTGCTCCCTCCCCCTCTGGTCCTTTGCAATTTTTCCAGCAGTTGTTCTTATAAAACACAAATGCGACTGACCCACTTAAAATCCTTCCATGGCTTCCCATTGCTTGCAGAAAACTCTCCCACAAGAGGATCTGGGCCTACTCCTCCGCCTTTCAGGCTCACATGCCCCCAGCCCTTTTGCCTTACTTGAAGCATGCCACCAGTGCACGTGGCATCCAAACTCAACGTCACTCCTTCCCTGCTTGTGGAACTGCTTGTATAAAGCAGTTTTTTATACTTTATACTGCTGTATACTGCTGTATACTTTATACAAGCAGTTCCACACAGCAGCACTGCCCATTCAAAGCTGCCTTTTAGGAACGTTTGGTCAGGCAGACACGTGCCAAGTACCACGCTGGCCACAAGGGCAGAATGCCACGTGGCAGCTCACCATCCACCTGGCTTCACCATCCACCAGCCCTCACTGTGCTGCGCCATAAGTCTCCATTTACGTGGCCGCATCTCCCTCCTGAAGGAGACTGAGTTCCGCAAGGACGTTCTACTCAGCACAGTGCAGGCACGCAGTAAATACAGAAGAGATGTACACGTGTAACACGAGCAGCTACAGCAGCAGAGACACACTTTGACGTAGCATAACCCGTGGTGCAATAGAAAATCAAGGCCAACACAATATCTCTGTAATGACTCTGCTATTTTTAGGGTTGGGTTAGGCAATATCCTCTTGCTAAGATTGGTATCAACTCTGAGAAATATTTTATGCAGTTGTAAAGTCCCAGATAAATTGCTTTGTACCGCTGGAGAAATAAAGCCTTTGATTAAAAACTAAAATTTCCCCAGCCCTCTAAAAAGGGATAGGGGGAGGGAAACAGATGCAGAAGAATGTCTGATCTGTCATATTCTTTAGTCATAGCCATGAACTGTTTGGTTAAGACAATCTGATGTTCTGATAACGATGATAAAAGTAACTTGAAGATTGGGTCACAGGAAGCCCAAGATAAAATGCTGAGAGGAAACAGGTTCTTTTTGAAGTAGCCTCTTCATAATCATTTTCCCACACATTTGTTCAGCTTCGGAGGGAGGACTGAATGCCTGATTTGCTTTGCAAATGAAACAGGTCAAGAATAAGAAATTTAGACAACAGCGAAGTGCAGAAGGCTCCTCCAGCTTGCTTTAGGTTTAGATTGTGGCTTCACAACTGAGAGAACCGCCCCTGTGAGGCACAGGCTAACTGTGGCCTTTATCTATTTGTATACTGCCTTGTTTTAAAAAGACTTAAAGCGGTGTACTAGAAAAGATTAAGACAGAAAAATAACAACAATATTATTTAGGACCAAAGAAGAAAGGGAATAGGAAATGGTGATCCACAGAAAAACAGGCTGTCGGTGAGCAGGCCATCAGAGTTTATAGTCTATCAGCCAAAGCAAAACAAAGAGCACTTTGTTTTACCTAACTCTGTTACACATGAAGGGGTAAAATAGCTCGTTAGGCTTCTGTTTAGCTTTAAAAGAGATTTCTCTTGAGGGTCTTCACAAGATGATATGATGGACAATATCCTCAGCAGGGTCCTGACAACACAGGCTTCCTCAGGGAGGGCCTCAGTGCTACTGCTTGATGCAAGTGAACATATCACAGCTCCAAAATTCAGCTGGGGAGGAGGGACAAGGGGGAGTGCAGAGGCAACACTATTACCTTGCTTATGTGACAGCAGGCCTTTTATTTTCATGTACTACAAACATGTGGGAGAGTTTTATATAAGCTAGAAGTTGTGAACAGGAAGAGAGCAAGGTCTGGAATGACCAGAGGAGTTGCCTCTCCTGTGCAAAAAACAGACCTTTAACACACAAAATTACAGCTAAATAGCAGGAAAAAGTTCTAGTGTTTTATACCACTATTGGATGACTATAGTTAACAATAATATATATTTTCAAATAGCTAGAAGAGAGGATATTGAATGTTCCTACCACAAAGAAATGATAAATGTTGGAGAAGATGGATATGCTAATTACCCTCATCTGATCTCTATACATTGTATGTATTGAAACATCACTATCTACCCTATAAATATCTATAATTACGTGTCAACTAAAAAATAAATTTTGAGGCTGGGTATGGTGGTTCACACTTGTAATCCTAGTAATTTGGGAGCCTGAGGCAGGAGGATCACTTGAGACCAGGAGTTCAAGACCAGCCTGGGCAATAGCAAGACCCCATCTCTACAAAAAAATTTTAAAATTAGCCAGGCATAGCAGCACGTGCTTATAGTCCCAGCTACTTGGGAGGCTGAGGTAGGAGGATCGCTTGAGCCCAGGAGTTTGAGACTGCAGTGAGCTATGATCAGGCCACTGAACTCTAGTGACAGAGTGAGAACCTCTCTCAAAACAAACAAACAAACAAAAAAAACATAAAATAAAATTTGAAATTTGTTAGCAAATCAAACTTTCTCAATGTCCACTCTGAATTTCTTAAGGTTGCCTAGTACAATGTCTGGTAATCAATGTTTGCCAAAATAACATATGATTAACAATAATCCAAGCAATGTTATTGTTTTGGAGATACTTTTAAGTTTATGAAGAGTTTCTGAATAAGATCATGGTAATGTTACCACTAACCAATGTTTCCTCTAACCTTTTAGCGGGGTACATTCTGCATATACACGAAATGATGACCTGAGAACTGGTTTCTGTTCTCAAATACCTACTGAAAAGGATAACAAAACTTGGACAAAAATATTTTTGCTGAAAAAAAAGTCTTTAACAAATTTGTTTGTTTGTTTTCCTGAGACAGAGTCTGGCTCTGTCATCTGGGCTAGAGTGCTGTGGCGTCAGCCTAGCTTACAGCAACCTCCAACTCGTGGGCTCAAGTGATCCTCCTGCCTCAGCCTCCCAAGTAGCTGGGACTCCAGGTGCATACCACCACACCCTGCTAAATTTTTTTATATTTTTAGCAGAAACGGGGTCTTGCTCTTGCTCAGGCTGGTCTTGAACTCCTGACCTCAAGTGATCCTCCAGCCTTGGCCTCCCAAAGTGCTAGGATTACAGGCCAAAAATTTCTGTTTTATGATGAATTCTGTTTAAAAGTCCCACAACATTAAGAGTTTCTGGGTATGGAATTACACAAGCCCCTTAACCATACAAAATTAAGACACCAAGCACAAAGAACCTGCTCCTTATCATCAGAATGGAAATAAACACAAAGAAAAGATGACAACCACCACAACAGGTAGTAGGCAAAACACTTTTATTCTTATTTAACCATGCTGCATGTATACATACAATATCAATATATACAACTGGAACAAATACAATTTATACATAAAATACAATAAAAGCGTGGCTTTTGAAATTGATGCAACAAACTTACTGTACAATTTGTAATTCTGGCCAGTATATAGCATTATAATAATGCTATTAAAGTTATTAATGATTTAATCAGACTACAGTATAAGTTCAAAGGCACTAGAAAGATCTATGTTTTCTTCTAGTATTTTAAGAACAAATAATAATTAAAAAGGAAAACAAATGTATACATTAAGAAATGGGGCAGACACTGGCATGCTTAAATGTAAACTCTACCCACCATTCCTTAATTCACAGCCCTGTAGGAAGGAGAGGGACCTTCCTCAAGAGTCTATTAAAAATAGACTTAAAAAGAAACAAAACAAAAAAACACTCAAAAATCATAATCGCAATTTTAAAAACGTTACAGATAAAGTACCACCACCCTCTCCACCAAAGTAACCTTAAATTTCCTGCTGCAAAAAAAAATTCCCCTTTCTCCAGAAAGTAAGTAAAATAGCTTGTCACATGGATTCCACTTGTGGCATAAACATGTAGATGCAGATTCTCTCTCCTTGATTAACCTTATACTTTACGTGAATCTAAACAAAAATGGAGAGTACTATTATATTTTAATATCCTATTAGTATATGTAATTATAAGGTTTATTAAAGAACATACTACAAGCCAATAACTCTACCAAGACTCCTTTTAATAAATAAATATTACTTTTTAAGTTAAAGAGAAAAAAGAATACCCTTTCATCAATAACCTATTTATATATATGTGTCACTCATTTTAAATCTGCATATTTATTTCAAATAATGAGCAAATTTGTTCATCTATATCCTTTCATGAAATTAACACTGAAGTTACAAAATATTTCATCTGTGGACAAAGACACAGTAAGTATGAAGAGATTACAGAACTGCTAAAACTGGAACTAAATGAATAGCTCTGAAGTCAGTGTCCCATATTTTCATATGGAAATTCAGGCCTGGCTTGAGTATCAAATTTTGGTATTTTATTAGATATATACTTAATGTTCACTTAGTATAATCAGCTCTAACATAATGCTTTTTGTAAAAAAAAATTGCTATAGTAGCCTGCTTTAAGAATTTCTCAACTGTATTTTGATAGACTGACTTTTTATTTCGACTCTTTTTTTTGTTTTGTTTTTTGAGACATGGTTTCACTCTGTTGCCCAGGTTGGAGTGCAGTGGCATGATCATAGCTCACTGCAATCTCAACCTCCTGGGCTCAAGCAATCCCTCCTGCCTCAGCTTCCCAAGTAGCTGGCACTATAGGTGCATGCCACCAATGCTCGGCTAATTTTTTTTTAGTATTTTGTAGAGATGGGGGTCTTACTATATTGCTCAGTCTGGTCTCAAACTTCTGGCCTCAGTGATCCTCCTACCTCTGCCTCCTAAAGTTCTAGGATTACAGGTGTGAACCATTGCGCCTGGCCTATTTTAACTTTTTATAGATTTCTTTTTGTTTTTGTGGTGGGGTGGGATAGAAAAAATATCTGACCTACTGGCTTAAATTTCTATGATGTTTTAAAGCTTAATTCAAGAGTTATTATTCATTTCTTATTTACTGCATTGTTACAGCCTAGAAACATGGACTTTTTAAAAGAAGCATGGATCTTTTTTTCTACCAGCAAAAGCAAGATTTCTGTACAGTAAATACTAACAGAGTTAAGTGTGCATCATCAAAAACATTTTACAATTACCAAAATATTCTGCTCACACAAAGCTTTTACAAGACATGTATTTACCTCAAGTCTTCACAGAACCTAAACAATGCCCCCCAGAGTAAAGTTATAAACTTAACTATCTTGCACCCTACAAAGAAAATGCTCCCAGTGAATTGCAATTCTAATTACCTCAAAAATATTCACCATACACAGGACATTTAGTACTCTACTTCTGGAATATACTTTAAATTTATGGACACATTTTTACCACCACTCACAGCTATTCTGTACACAACTTTGTAATTATAAACCAATATTTAACCAAACTTTTGAAAATAAGATTAATTTAATAAATACTAAACTTATGAAGTCTCAAAACCTTTGCAACCTATGTGTTTAAGGGCTGATTACATAATTTCAAAATCCGTAAAACATATATTAAGTGGTTTAGGAAGTAGAGCAACTTTCAAAAAAATAAAAATTTTGAAAGCAGCCACAAAAGAACAAATAATTCTACTACAACTTATTTTACTATAAAATGAACATAATTTTTATTTATAGAGGAATACGGTCTAACTGGATTAATCAATAGTAGAAATTCAGGGAAGAATTTTCTTTTATAAAGTATGAAGAAAAAGTGTTTTAAAGGCAAGGACTAAAAGATATTTTTCTTGCTTAGCTGCATTTTCTGGAAATGGAAACCCTTAATTGGGAGATACAGAGTAATTTCCATCAAAATTTTGAACTCAGACAAAGAAAAGCATCCATAAGTCACACTTCAAAGTAAATATTTAAAAATACACATACAGGCAAAGATAAATGACCAGTACTTAGATTCTTAATTTTCTGCAAGTATAGCTCCTTTATACTTAGGTACTATTCAACGTTTCAAGAGAACATGAAACCAGAACAAAAAAAAAAAGTATATTTGATTTGACTCAAAGTAGCCAAAAAGGTCAGGAGAGGTCCGGATGAAACACATTTTCACCTTTTTTAAAACATGTATACTTGCAAAGATTATAGAATTATAAAATTTTCTACAGGATATCAGTAAGATCAATCATCTCATACTTAAAATGCAATGAATGCTAGAAAATTAGAATGTGCTTAAACAGGCTGAGTGGGTTAGTGTTAGGACAAAGTCATTTCTTAGATGTGCAGCCAAAACATTCATATACAACAGTGCAACACAGGACAATTTGATCTGCTACTTTCTATGTGCAAAACAAGACATACTTTTTTTTTTCTATTTTGAAATTCTGGTTGTCTAAATATACAGCAGTTGGGTAAATAGCTAACTGATTTATAGATACATCTAAACTATAACTCTTCCTGGTATGAACTGCTTCCCCAACTTCCCTGCACAGTACAACTGAAGAGCAGTATGACAATTTCAACAGTCACCAGTTGTACAATTTTAATGTTATGTTAATATATAGAGAGACTAAAAGTTATTAGGCATATTATTATATCCAGTCTTACTCCATCATTTACAGCTTCATTACGTGAAGTTACACAGAAGTCTTCAGTGTTTTAATTAAAGATTTTGTCCAAGCATAAGAATATCACTAATTTTTATTGTGACTTTATGTCTGTAACATTTACTGAAGTAAAGAGTCAATAACAGTTTCAGGCTTTGCAGAACGCTTTCTGTTTGGAGAAGAGAAAAAGCAAGCATGAATGCTTTCCTAAAAGAATTAAATGTAGACACTTTACATTATGTAGCAGAAAATACACAGTGGGCATAGAGTCTGGAAACAAGGCCAATTTTAATATGTTTGACCATGTTAAGTGATCAATTAATTCCCACCTTTTCAGGCTAGGGGAAGGTCATCTAGAGTAAGCACAATGGGATGAAACTCCACCCCACTGTGCCAGAATAATGAGGGACTGGGTGGATGGCAATTTCCAAAACTGAACTAGCCAATGTGGCCAGGCCAAGTGGGCCGCATGCTTGCCAGACCTGAATCCCATGGTTATCTATTCTGAGGTATGTTAAAGATGCAGGTGGACTCAGAAAATCAGAGACACAAATCATCTGAGGCAATACCTCACAAATGCATGTGTAGGGAACTGACAGAAATGCTACATTAGTGCACCATGGTTATTGCTATTTTGCCTAGCACATTCAACTATATCTTTCTAATGAGGAACATCATAGTAAACATACCATGTAATGTCATGTAATATTATCATTAACCATTTATTGTACATATTTGCCCATGTTTATGGCTATCATTTTCTTAGTGTTTTCATGATACAGCAGGCTACTTCTAGTACATAGAGATGCTGGGTATGGCTCACATAATGTTGCTCCATACATTTTTTTCTTAAACTAAAAAAAGTACATATTTTAAAATAAGCATTCTGGCAACTGTATTCAAATACCCTATAAAATTATTGATTAGTTTAAGTCCACATAGTAAAAAAAAAAAAAAGATAACTAAAAGTGAGAGCTCTCATAAATAACCCAGATTTCTGGCTTCTTAGAAAAGAGAAGATCCAGAAATGAGCCCTCTATTCCCACAACCAACTAGGAAGAGAACGGCAGCTGCTTGTGTTAGACAAAACTGCTCTCCAGTCTGCCCCAGTCCTCATCTTGCCCATTGTTCTCCTGCACTGAGGCCAAATCAAATGTCTTACCATTTATTATCACACTTGCATTGTCATTTTTACTACTAACTGTAAAGTTAAGAGGAAAATATCTCTATTAAAAGTGGAAAAGGAAAAAAATACATCTCAAGGGACTCGTTTTCTTAGAATGATTTGCTTCATTCATTAATATGTGTGGCTTCTGTGGGCATATGAAAGTTTTGAACTCCTCACTGAAATGCTAAAGAATGCAAAAGTCTATACACTTTAAATATGCAACTGATTTCCCCACAAGTTCAACTATACCAAATTTATAAGTGTTAAGTTATGAATTAACACTTTCAGTTTTAAGTGTCTATGAGATCATGTAACACAAAAATATTAAAACTATACAACCTCATTCTACATGTAACTCGAAAGCCCATGCCCTTGAAGTAGAGAAAAAAGCAGCTAATTATTTTCTACCATTTCAGGAGCCCCAGAGTTTTACAATCAGTTTAAACAAGCTGAACAGTACTTGATGTAGAAAAGGGAGAGAAAAAATAGGCTCCAACACGGCGCTCCCGCACCCTGATCTCCTTGGGTGTATGTGATGACACATGGAGACCACCCCACAGTCAGAACCAGTGCCCACAGGAGAGGAAAAGACATCCAGAGTTTTCCCTTAACTGGTAACAGAGGAAATCAAGGTTGTTGGGGCAATGTTTATTATAGAAAAACTAACCAGTTAAATATAATACCTTGGGAGTCTAACCAGGCAAATTAATTAGCATCTCACTAGAAGAATAAACACAAGAATTAAGGAATTAAACAAGATAGTACGTGATCCATTAACATACTTGGAAAGAACAAAATGAATTAAGAATAAATTCTACTACTCAAGAGGCTAAGGAAGTTGAAACACCATAATTCTTTAGCCAGATTTAATTTACTCAAATTCTAACTACATAAGGAATTTGATTTTTAATGTATGAGCCAAATATTTATTATATTAACTAAATCAATTTTTATTTCCTTTAAATGTATCTAATTACAATATCTCACTACTTTCCTTACATGGACTGAAGGGCAGTCCTTACCTTCTCCCTGTCTTTGGCCTTGCTTTCCCCTTTGAGGTCCGCGGCCTCTCTAATTTCATCAGAGACTGACGCAAACTCTCCTCAGTATAAGCGAGATACACGTGGGAAAGGTCCACTTCGAAGGGCTAAGTAAAAGAAGCACACACAAGGCACTGTTATAGGAGGAAGTTGAATCAGATTTGGTGGAAGATTTAAAATACTGAATAAACTCCTAGAAAAAAAAAGCCACAGAAGACAAAACCAAACAAATTGTCTAAAGATATCTAATCCCAATATCTAAAATGCATTCACCAAAGATTGGTAAATAAGAATCTCTCACACATGATAAATTTCCTTAGACATAAAGAAAAACTGTTGCTGTTTTCCTTAAAGCTGCTCCCTCTTCTTGTTAACCTAGAACTAGAACTAACTTTGAAAGGGAAGACAGACACATTCTAGTCTCTAACCACATCCCCATGATGCAGAGAGGGAGTGGAAAGACTCCTAACAGTGACTCTATGCCGCTCGTGTAGAGTAATAAGCCTGCCATCGAGGCAAGCAGAGCTGTCTTCATCATCATGCCATCCCAAGGCCTTTATTTCCAAAAGATAAGTCCATTTTCGTCAGAGCCAATTAACAGATACAAGAGTGACAACACAATGTAATGGCTCATATTCCTATAAAGAAACAACTGCAGTTTTAAAAAGAACAAAAAAGTACTCACATCTTTCTCCTTTTTATCCGGTACTGGGGTTTGCTTCCTCATGTTATTTCCTGTATATGCAACACATTTCTCAAAAAAAGAAAAGGAGGGGGACAGAAATGTCTTCATTAGTAATTGATACCATGAATTAGGCAAATTACTGTGTGATGAACTGATGTTGCACTTGTAGAACATGATCTGAAGCTGGAGCACAAAGGCCTCAGAGGTTACTCAGGCCTATGGAGCACTGACGTGGACCATTTCCACCTAGACCATGATCTACTGTTACAGTTTACTAGTTGTTATAAAATATAATACAGCTAATTAGGAAAACATCTTTTCCGCCCTCCTGGATTCTCCTCTAATTCATCCTCTGGACCACCTTCCTCCCCATTACAGCCAATATAATTTCTAGTCCACAGGAAGCCCTCTGTAAGTATTTCGTGAAAGGATGAGGGTAATACTTACTAGCTGCCATTCTCCTATGTCTTCATTCCAATGGACATAGTTTTCAATCATTTCCTTTTAAAAGAGTCAATGATAGTCTATTTTTAATGTTCAATAACATTTACAATATAGAAAAGTATTCATAGAACTAAAAATCTCAACCATGTTAAGTGAAAAAGTTTTAAGTCTTAAGACATATACTACTGCATGATACCCTTTTTATAAATTTTAAAATATATATTTCTTAGGAATGCATGTAAATACAATTAAACTACAATTAAAATAAAAATGCAAAAAAATGAAGAAGACAGGAATCAGGATTATGGTCACCCTGGGTTAGAAGAGGCAAAAGGATGGATTCAGGGAGGGAGAAACCATTTAGTTAAAAGCAGACTACTGCCAAGGTCCTAGCTTTTGTCCTAGGTGATGAGTCAGCTACAAAGCAAGTAAATAAAAGTAGGCCACCCAAAGAGCAGTAAGGAGAGTATACCATGAACCTAGGATTAATTCTGTGCACTTTAGGTCCAGTGGAAAAAAAGATACTACGATTCATTTTCAGACAAATTTCTTAAAGCTGTACTGAAATCCAAAATATATTTTTTAAAAAATCAGAATGTTAAAGTTTACTAAAACATATTGGAAAGACAGAAATTTTGAGTTAAAAAATTTGATGATGAGATTTTTAAATTATACTAAGAATTAGCATCCATCTGGAGATGGATGTTGGTGATGGCTGCACAACAATGTAAGTGTACTTAACGTCACTGAAGTGTACACTTAAAAATAGTTAAAATCTATACCAGAGGCTAAGGCAGGAGGATCCCTTGAACCCAGGAGTTTGAGGCCAGCCTGGGCAATATAGTGAGACCTCATCTCAAAAAACAAAAAGGTAAAAATGATAAATTTCATATTATATATACTAAAGTAAATTTCATGTTATATATATTTTACCACACACCCCTCCCCCATACACAAAGAATTAGCATCCATATACATGAAGAAAAAGACAGCACTGTGGTTCTATTTATTCTACTTATATGATAAAGGATGTTGGATGAAGGAATAGGACCTATACCTTGATTATGGTTGCATTTACATGAATCTGAGTTCCTCCAAAGAGCTGAAAAATTCTTCTTTAGATACTTAGATACTCAAACAGAGAATTATGTATTACGAAAAGTTAACAACTAAAGTGAAATGTGATAGCATTCATTCAAGAAAACTTTTTACTCAATAATTGAAATGTAAGGATTTACCATCAATTAAATTAGAAATTATATTTCTTTGTCCTATAATCACAGTTAAGTGACCTAATAACTAGGTCAGAGAACTTATCACTTACCTGATAATCCTTAGGTATAAAGTTATCAATAATAAGCATCTGAAGTCGAAGCTCCCGGCTAAGTTGCCGAATGTTCTCCAGAAGGCCTTCGATTTCCCTCTGATGTTCTTGTTGGAGATCAGCCATCTACCAGAAAATCCATGAAAATACCATGAACAAATAAGATTTTAAACAAAAACAGTTCCACCTCACATAGGGCACTGGTCTAAGAGGCCTGTGAGAGCTTACCCAGTTCTTTCACAAAAATAATGGACAGAGTGACACTGTCACCATCTAGTCCACGTTATCAGCTAAGGTTGGAAAGAAATGAGTTAGCCAACAGGTAAAATTAAAAATTGTACATAATGGAGAAATATTATTTCTTTAAAATTACAAGCACATACTATAATTACTATGGATTCTTAATTCTTTTTTTTTTTTTTTTTTGAGACAGAGTCTCGCTCTGTTGCCCTGGGTAGAGTACAGTGGCATCATCGTAGCTCATAGCAACCTCAAACTCCTGGGCTCAAGCGATCCTCCTGTTACAGCCTCCCAAGTAGCTGGGACTACAGGTGCATGCCACAACACCCAGCTAATTTTTTCTATTTTTAGTAGAGATGGGGTCTAGCTCTTGCTCACTGGTCTTACACTCCTGAGGCTCAAGGGATCCTCCCACCTCGGCCTCCCATAGTGCTAGGATTACAAGTGTGAGCCACTGTGCCCCACCAGTCTTAATCAATCTTAATCAAAGGAACTCCTTTTTAAAAAATTCAAAACTACATCAGTATATAATTTTTAAAGGACCAACCTCTGACTTGGCAGCCATAAGCATAGTCCAAACTTTCTTTAATTTCTTGGTCTTTCCCTGTGCTTCCTCTTGCAAACTGGTATATTTTTCTTCAATATCTAAGCGTTCTTGCTATGATGAAAATTAATAAACTTCAGAATAATTTTCTTCATTAAATCACAAATATAATTATTTAACACATGATATAACACATGATATAAGTTTAGACACTTATCTTCAAAGCAATCCATAAATCTGCTTTAAAATTTCATCAAGATTATAGATACTTAGCTTTTCCCTAGAAAAGTTAATTATCTTAGGCAAAATATTAAACTAAAAACAAAAAGTCATATTACTTCTTTCTCCTCAAGTTCTTTGCGAAGTTGCTCTGCTCTTTTCCTTCTTTCTTCCAGCTCCATATTAGATTCTTCAAGAAGTTTCTCTTGTTCCTCAGCTTTGGCCAACAAATCAACACCACCAACAATTACCTTCTTCTCCAGGGCAGATAATTTTTCTAACAAAGACTGATGTTCTTGTCTGTTAATTAAAATAAGAATACCCTATATTCACTGATCATCTACTCTTCTACTGATATCATTTCCCCAAATTTAACAAGAGTTTGGATGTACAGTTTCAAAATAGAAATATAATTATGTAACATCTCTACCAGACTATACCACTTTGTAGTATTAATGATTTAATCTATAACTAATTCAAATTCACCATTTTTAACAGTATTTTTTTCTCCCATACAAAGATGAAATAATCAAAACAGATCTGATTTTTAAAAATACATCACATACCTTGGGGCTCTTCTATCCAAAAACAGCTACTCTGGAGACAAAAACCAAGCCTTTAATTAACTATTCAATTTTCCTATTCATACATCCTATGAAAAATATTAAACATTTAAATCATGAATCCATCTCAATTCAATAATACTTACTGGGCTTTAAGTAGATCTTTTTCCCGTTTCTCTAATTCAGCTCTGGCCTTGTTTCTTTCTTCTTCTTCCATGTCAAGCTTTGTTTCAAGTGCTTTTCTCTCCTCATCAATTTTTGCTTGCATTTCAACCATTTTATCTGGAGAAACTTTCTTTTTACCTATTTGAGTCATTTAATTGCAACAATCACTAAAATGAGTCAATGTTTTAGACACATAAATTACCTTCAATAAAGAACTGCCTACACTCCTCAATAATACAAAACCAAATATCAACATTTTAAGGAAGTCAAATCAATACTATCCCTCATTTCTATTTATTATGTTCCTAGAAGAACTTTTTAACTCACTTTTTAAATTCAAACTGTTGGCCAACTGTGCAAAGATAAATGAGAACAAAAGTAAGTGAATGAGAAATAAAATAAATGAGCTGAAAAATAGGGAAAGAAAAATTAACAGGAAAGCCAAATAAAAAAGCAAAGATTTGTGTGTCCCCAAATGACATATATAGGTTAAAAAAAAGCAAAATGATTCTTCAGTTACTTTTTCCTGATAACCAAGCACAGAATCAAGAGGCTCCCCCAAATCACATAAAATTAAAATAAAAGTCACAGATAGGTATTAAATGCACAGATAAAAGTATCAGGCAGAATTTATACCAAGTAGTTTTTAATATATTTTTCAGAGTTTTTCTAAAATTTTTATTTAATAAAATTACTTGAAAGTATTTTATTTGTTAGCATACTTATAAAGGAAGAAATTCTACACTATGGAATTATATAATAGTAATTAACGAAGCATTTTATAGCTGCTGAGCTATCATATCATCATACCCTAAATTAACAACTAAAATAGCTTGTTATTATGTCAAACTCAGGACCCTAAATCTCCCTAAGTCAGATTAAACATGCCAAGTGTCAAATGTAAGTGGAAATATTACCAAATAATAAAGTTGGAATAGGGCTTCCAATTGATTATTTTGATTATAATGTCTAATAAAGTATTTTATATACATACAATAGGTACTCAATGAAAGTTTATTGATGAATTTCAAAATCATTAAATCCAAATGAAAAAGAGAAAATAAAAACTAGCTAATATTAAACGGGTTAAGAAACTGAATCAAAAACAATTCATTTCTGGTAATACAATTTCTTAGAAACATACATTCCTTCAGAAAACCAATCAAACTTTTCGTAGAATTGGTCTAAGCCTCTCCTAGAAGCTTTCTATCATTCTTAACTTTCTTCCCAAAGGACCACAGAAGAAGAGTGAAAACAGAAGAGTTTATAAATTGTTAATATCTCCACCCAAAAGCTAACCCCTCCTGCTAGCAAGGAAAAAGAACTGAAAAATACTTATGGAGAAATATATCTGAATATATTCTCTCAGGAACCATGAGATGAAGAATCATGCATGGGCTTTCATTCTTTAAGACAAAATTATATCAAAAACTCAAGGGTTTAAAAATACATTATCCTTCATTTCTATAGAACTGTAAGTCCAAAGAAAATCTAAGCCATAAAACAAATTAAATAAAACAGTAAATAAAAGCACTGATTCACATTCATGCTTTGGTGTGGTGTGATTCATTGCATTCCAAAAGCCAGCATTTAGATCTGAGTTTGTTGGCTTGTCTGGCACAGTTACCTGTACTGAACCTTCTGAATTAGCTGTTAAAAAATAACTTTTAAAAATAATTTAATTCCTATTCCTAATGAATTCCTAGAAGTATTTCCCATCAGTTATACTGTTTCTTAGAAATTTATTTTATTTTATTTTTGAGACAGAGTCTCACTTTGTTGCCCAGGCTAGAGTGAGTGCCGTGCGTCAGCCTAGCTCACAGCAACCTCAAACTCCTGGGTTCAAGCAATCCTTCTGCCTCAGCCTCCCAAATAGCTGGGACTACAGGAATGTGCCACCATGCCTGGCTAATTTTTTGTATATATATTTTTAGTTGGTCAATTAATTTCTTTCTATTTTTAGTAGAGACGGGGTCTCGCTCTTGCTTAAGCTGGTCTCGAACTCCTGATCTCAAGCAATCTGCCAGCCTCGGCCTCTCAGAGTGCTAGGATTACAGGCGTGAGCCACCGAGCCTGGCCTGTTTCTTAGAAATTTAAATGAGAAAAGTATAAGTTCAGGTATACAGTAAGTGCATGCATTAAAAAAGTTGTAACTTGTTTTCCACCTCAGAATTATAAATATTTAAAGAAAAAAATGGGAATTATGTTAAGACAAAAATCAATGTATGAAGACATAGATACTAATGGTATAGAGGAAATGATCTGATGAACATATTAACATTAGATTATTATTTTTAGGCTTCTAGGGTTCGAATTGTTTTATCAATACTTAAAAATGTTTCAAAGCCCACTAAGAGGCAAAATAAAGAGATTTTATATATAGAAATATAAAAACACATGACCACTGATGAATTATTATGTTAGTAATTCAAAACCTTTCAGGTAATTTTGTTAAACTGACACTTTAGTAGAAAAAATCTTACTGTGTTCTTGCAACATTTTCATGAAGATGATTGACTATGGATGCACAGCTAGGGTTAGTTTCAAAAATCTCGTATTTAAGTAACATTACTTTAGCCAGAATCATTCTGACAAATCATTATATTTCTTTCCAAATAATATTTTAAGTAAAATGTAAATATGTGCCAACTCTCTTAACCAGGCATTTTAAAAGTGACAACACTAAAAGTTACTTTTACATATATTTTTTAAAGTTTTTTTTAAAAAAAACCCTTATCAAACAAACCAATCAAACAAAACCTTTCCCAAATACTGCAAAGTAAAATTCAGCACAAAATTTCAGCCAAGTAGGTTTTAAAAAAAGTTAATGCCATATAGAGTTTTTGTTTGTTTGTTTGTTTGTTTGTTTTTTGAGACAGAGTCTCAATCTGTTACCCTGCGCATCACCATAGCTCACTGCAACCTCACACTCCTGGGCTGAAGAGATCCTCCTGCCTCTTGAGTAACTGGGACTACAGGTGAGTGCCACCACACCCAGCTAATTTTTCTACCTTTTGTGGAGACTAGGTCTTGCTTTTGCTCAAGCCATCTTCCTGCTTCTGCCTCCCAGAGTGCTAGGATTACAGGCATGAGCCAGGCGCCCGGCCCTTAGCAGGTTTTAATTTAGCCAAACATAGGCAGTAACATTTTTAATTGCCCTTCACCAAAAGTGAAGGTGAACTGACAAAGGAAAGTTAAAAGGAAGAACTTCAGGGAAGTGCTAATTCAATTTTATTATGTGAGTACCCATAGGCGCAGGTAACTAGGCATTTGATCATTAGGGTTTTTGATCGTTAGGGTTAGGGTTAAAAAAGCAGGAAGAGAATGTTTGAATGTGAAATTATTTATATTTGTATTTCCAAAATTTGTCTTAATGGGTCTTTAAGAACTTAAAAAAAAAGAACATTTCTTTTAAAAGGCTAAAATTGAGAGATTTTTTTTTTAAATATAAGATGGATACTTACCTTACTAAAAAATCATTAAATTTTTAAAATTTAATGTATTTAAATAACAAAGTTCTTTATATGATAAATAAATTGTACCATGTGGAGTGCAAATCAATCACACCAACCTGCTTGATCTTGCAATAAGAGGTAGTAAGCAAATCGTAGACAGGAAGCATATGCACAGAGATGAGGAGGAAAAAAAGGAAAACATTATTTCTTTTGTAAAACAAAGAAAAATGTATAATAGCATAAGTATAGAAATAAATCTAATCATTATCAAAACTGAAATAGAGCGTATATTAAAAAAAGCATATTCAACACAATAAGAGATGTAATTTAAGCAAGAATGTTATTAAGATTAATTTCATCTAAGATCACAATTCGAATCAATCTCAAGAGCTCACACTGATTTCCAAACTCCTACAAATGTACAATTCAACTCCATGTAGTATGCTAAAGGTAGACATGGAATTGGGAACCTGCTAAGACCTAAGAAGTAATCTAAAAGGGCAAAACAGAAAATTACACCAATTTTAAAAATTAATAAGTTAAAAATAACAAAATTCACATTGTCCATTTCTAAAATTTCCCAATTCAATGTTTCTTCCAGCTTAAGGATCCATTACAGGTGTGCCTCACTTTAAGAAAATCCAACACAAAAACCTGAACCAACTAAATAGATAAATTAGATTATAGTAATTTACACCAATTATTTGATTAACAAAAATATTCAGTGAAGAAATTTTTAAAGATAGCAAGTTCTAATACATTTGATTTTCAAACCTTATAGACAATTTTTCAGAAAAAAACATATATTACATAAAATGAAGTACACCTGTATAATAACAAACTTAAAATACATTCAATCTATTAGTAGATTTTTAGGGGTAATTACAATAATGTTTCTATAGAAGTAAATGCTAATTGATGATTCAAGCAAGGGACACCTAAAAGAAGGCCATTCACATTTTTAAAAGGAAAGGTACATACAAGTTACAGCCACCACATGCTGGGACAACCGTCTCTTCACTTCACCAGCACGCCCACGTTACAACAAAAAAATGTTATGTGCTAGGTATGCAAATAGTAATTAAAACTTTTTGAATTGAATACAACTCATTTCATAACATATGTCATATAACTACTCCTTAAGAATTAAGATAAATTTTAAAACAGAAAATTAAATTACAATGCCTCCCACTCAGTTATTTTCTCACACCCTACTATTTATAATACAAAATAATACTTCTATACGGTGTCTAAAGCAATTTCATGTATTTTACAAATTATCCTCTGAAATTAATTGTTTTGGTAACTTGCTTAAGAGTTGTAAATAGAGAAAAAGTTTCTAATATTCCTAGAATTCTTCCTCTAGAAAGCTAAAAGCATGACAATAATAAGCAGTATTTTTGTTATTAATTTTAGAAAGGGTTATATAGATAATGCTTTAAAAGACAGTAAGCTGCAAGCTGGTACAATAAAGCATCACCTCCTTTTCTTCTGAAAATAAAATATAAATAGATAAAATTAAATAACACTTTTCAACTTAACTAAAGTTTAAGAAAAAGCCTTTAAGTTTGAAATAAGTCTAGATCCTGCATGAACAACTTCTTGTGATGCTGAATTCTCTAATCACATCTTAGAAAATTTCTTAAAATCTATCAGATAATTTAGAAATAGGGATAAATGTCCATTTGAAATAAAATACTATTCAATTTATCTTCACTTGCTTCAAACTTTACATTTTTCTTTGAGAGCCTTTAATCTTGAGTTACTTCTAAGAATAGGACACCAAAGTGTAAAATGTTTTTAACTGTACGACATGTTATAATGGGCACTGGTGTACTTCCAAATATAATAGTACTTTTAGAAATTTAGGATTTGATATTACATGTCTCTTGTAGTGAGCAAGATTAGAAATTTATCACGAAACCTAAAAAAGAACTGTAAGAATTATTCTTTTATACAGCTTACTAGCTCTCTTTACATTATCTCAGTTGCAAAAGCATGAATCTCTCTTCCATTGTCTCAAACATAAGCTGAAGCATATGTTTTAACAATTATGGTTTACTGGAAGCAATGAAGGGATGGAGGGAATCATCACATGCTTTGTTCTACTGAGAAGTCCAACATGTATTCTTCAAGAAATGACAGGGAGCAGTACAGCATTTCTCAAATGAAGCCCATGGGTTATGGAAAAGCCAAAGCTCTGTTAGAGAATTTAAGAGCTACCACTCACTAGGCAAGAACTTATCCAGAGGTTTCTCTATGACAGAACATGTGGAGTCTGAACTACTGCTGCTGCTACTGCCTGGAAGACAAAGAAATGAGCCCAACGGGAACCAAAGAAAGAGGAAACAAGAAAATGAACACATACACAGAGGAAAATTCAGTTCCAGAGAAAGAATTTAAAGGACAATCAAGCTTTGCATTAAAGAACCAAAACTTACTTTCCCATAAACCAGTCTTGGTAATTTATCCAATATTCTCTACTTTACAAAGCCATGAAGGCGAATTCCCCCAAAGAGGGAAAACTTTTCCATTAAGCAACTACTGTGGGCAAATCCCATTAGTCACCTAAAACACAATAATTGTGAAGGTTAAAATGACTAGAATAAAAAATAAATAAGTGCCTGTAATCCTAGCACTCTGGGAGGCTGAGGCGGGCGGATTGCTCAAGGTCAGGAGTTCAAAACCAGCCTGAGCAAGAGCGAGATGCATCTATACTATAAATAGAAAGAAATTAATTGGCCAACTAATATATGTAGAAAAAATTAACTGGGCATGGTGGTGCATGCCTGTAGTCCCAGCTACTCGGGAGACTGAGGCAGCAGGATTGCTTGAGCCCAGGAGTTTGAGGTTGCTGTGAGCTAGGCTAACGCCACAGCACTCACTCTAGCCTGGGCAACAAAGCGAGACTCTGTCTCAAAAAATAAATAAATAAATAAGTACATAAATAAATAAGTAACTTGGTGACCTTTAAGTCTGTTTAAATTCTGTAGGTTGATAACTTAAAGAAATGGAGTTGTAAAACTTAAAGTCATACATAATTAATTTGGGAAATGATAAATTATATCATTCCTTCATTACACACACTTTGCTGTCTCCACTTTCACTCTCTCTCCTCCAAAACATGAAATTATCAAATATAATTTATGTTCAAAGTCAAAACTTTCAAAAGGCTCACTGAAGATTTTTAAATTCCTAAGTCTAGAAGGAGAGTCTATTACTATTAAATATTTTAATATACTAAACAATGGCTTTTTTTCTATTTAAAATTTTACTTTTTACAAATCTATTGTCTGCTTTAGCTTTGAAAAGAATAACCTACTCTGTGAAAAATGAGGTATGAATAAAAAATCATCTCTTAACCAGGTGTTGGCAAACATTTTCTACAAAAGGGCAGGTGACAAGCATTTTAGGCTTTGCAAGCCACACAGTTTCCACAAAAGCAGCCACAGACCATACGTAAACAAATGAGCATGGCTGTCTTTATTAAAATTTAATTTACAAAAACAGGTGGTAGGATAAATTTGGCTAGTGGATTGTATCTTGCCAACTCTTGCCCTAAATCATGCTTTTCTCTGCCTTTTGAAGTTACAGAATCTTTATGGCTTTTAAATTTGGGACTCCTATTCAAGCAGTGATGAGTTTATTTTCAGCAACATCATTTTAACAAGACAAGCAAATTATGCACCTTGAAAACAAATTATGCAGCTTGAAAACAATGACTACGTTAATGGAAGAGAGTTCTGAAATAAATATTTACAGTAAAAAGGCTTGAAATGTAGGCCATTATAATATGTCTGTCTCTTCTGCATGTCATCTACATTCTTATCAGAGCAAACACAGTCTTATTTCATACTCAGCGTGAGAAGGAGAGTACATTTTATAAAAAAAAAACTAGAATTGTCATACAAATTTATTATTTAAAAATTCAATGACTTCTAAAGACTAACCTTGTTTGAGGGAAAACTCCACAGTATCCTAATTTCCTATCAAGTTCCTAACACTGATGAAATCCCTCTATAAAATTAAAACCCTACATGAAATTTTAAAATGGTATAAACCACCATCATAGAAATTCATACAATTCTAAATTATTTTAAAAAAACAGAACATACAGTATTCTGAGGCAGCTATATACAGGAGATCAATATAGGAGAAAAAAATGCAAAGTTAACCAGGTATATAGCATACATCCTCTGTTCTCATTGCTACCATAACTTAAATTGGCAAAACAAAAGGCATGCACTCTACCGCCTTAGTAATGAGAAACCACCATTAGGCAGTAATTCTAGCTAATTTCTACAAATTAGAACACTAAACAGAACTTACCCCTTCTTTTTTTCCTTTTCTCTCCATCTTCTCCAATCTCACCCTCTTCATCATCATCTTCCTCTGAGCCACTGATATCAGAGCCTGATATTTCTTCTCCTTGAACAGAAATTTAGTACAATGATTTTTATTCTGTACCTACTCACTGGCTATTTAAGAGATTCCTATATCAACTTTTTTAAATTAAATTTTTGTTGCCCAAGTAACACATTTAAATTCTATTCGAATGCTCCTAGCCAGTATATCAGATATGCTAATCCCAGAAATAGATAAGACATATACTGAGATTTTATTTTTAATGTCCCTAAAAAGAAGTTAAATTCTGACCCATTTAAAATTTCAAATCATTAATTTAAGTTCTAAATATATATATAAACGATGTGATAGAGTTATTAATTCAGTCTTTAAAAAATGTGATCACTTTGGGGAGCAATTTCTCTCCAGTTTCCTGTTTAAGACTTTAAAATAATCCATTCAATCTGTATTTTTTTTTAAAGAGCCATAAAACTGTCATCTAACACAGTGATCCCACTTTTAGGACCATATCACAAGATATATTTCAAAAGAAAGGCTTATTTGTACACAGATAATGTTAAGTATATATTAAAGACCAAAAAATCCAATAAAATGGAATGATTAAACCAATATTAATACAGATCAGTACTATATTATCTTTGAATTATTTTAAAATACTATCCATATATGAAATGTCTAAGGAAACAAAGGATATTTGAGGAAAAAAATTAAATATACACTAACCACAACCAGGTAATAATTGTACCTGTAAATAAAGGATGAAAAGAGAACACAGAGTACTAGGAGAAGGAATTCATTAAAAATATTTTGTTCTGTGGGCTTAGAAACAACATTTTGGTGGCAATGAGCACACCTAGTGCCCAAATTTTCGTTTCTAAACACTATTCTCCTACCAAAGGAACCATGGAGAAACAGACGATTCTAAGGTTAAACAGGGCAGACACAAGATGAACCTAACACATCTTGTAGTGCCAGAAAGTAAGGGAGAGCTCAAAAACACTGACAGGAGCACACTGAAAGGCTACAGGAACTCCTATAAAGGAGCTCCTAATAGCCGAAGCTGGGACAATCTGAGCAACAAAATAAGTAATGATAGTATTAGATTATAATCCACAAACTAAGTAAGAAAAATAGTTGAATAAATGAATAAATAAATGGGGATTAAGGGACTGTTATACCTTACAACAGAATTCTATAGACTAAACATAGAAGAAATGATGACAACAGAAAACCACCATTGAGTGAATGCCGCAGAATTATTATCACAGGCAAGAAGCATTGATGGATGCTAAAATTAGTAGAAGAAAGTATGATGTGATCCCCACAATATACATAATAATTACAAATGGAGAAATAAAATAATAGATTTATAGTGGAGAAACCTTACAGGATAATTATTAGAGAACTGTAGATAAACCCAAATTAAGGAACATTCTACAAAATACATGACCCACTGCACTTCAGAATGGTAAAGATCATGAAAGATAATGCAAGACTGAGGAGCGATGGCAGACTAGAGGAGAAGTCTGCTGTAAGATGTCATTAAGAAGGCATGACAAATAAATGCAATGTGTGATCCTGGATTGGATCCTGGACCAGAAAAAAAGGCAGTGAAAGGAAAACTGGCGAAGTTCTAATAAGGTCTGCAAATTAGTTAATAAGACTGCATAAATGTAAATGTCCTGGTTTCAGTAATTGTACTATGATTATTTAAGATGTTAATAGTAGGGGAAGCCAGGTGAAGGGGAGACAGGAACTCTCCATAGTTATCTTTCCAAGTATCCCACAAGTCTAAAATCATTTTAAAATAAAAAGTTTAAAAATAATTCTTTTAACACTATTGCTTACTTTTTTATTGTTTATATGAACAACTCTATTAACTAGATTATAAAAACAAATGTCATAAGACCACAAATGAAATGTGTTAAAAAAAAATAGGCCGGGCGTAGTGGCTCACGCCTGTAATCCTAGCACTTTGGGAGGCCAAGGCGGGCGGATTGCTCAAGGTCAGGAGTTCGAAACCAGCCTGAGCGAGACCCTGTCTCTACCAAAAATAGAAATAAATTAATTGACCAACTAAAAATATATATACAAAAAAAAAAATTAGCCGGGCATGGTGGCGCATGCCTGTAGTCCCAGCTACTCGGGAGGCTGAGGCAGTAGGATCGCTGAGCCCCGGAGATTGAGGTTGCTGTGAGCCAGGCTGATGCCACAGCACTCACTCTAGCCTGGGCAACAAAGTGAGACTCTGTCTCAAAAAAAAAAAAAAATAGTATTACCGTAGGATCCAACAATTCTGTTTCTGGGAATATATCCACAATAATTTAAAGCAAGGACTTGAACAGGTATGTGTACACCCATATTCATAACAGCATTATTCACAATTGCCAAAAGGTGGAAGAAACCCAAATATCCATCAGTGGATGAAAGGATAAACAAAATATAATATACCCATACACTGGAATATCATTCAGCCTAAAAAGGAAAGAAATTCTGACACATGCTACAACATGGATGAACCTTGAAGACAGTATGCTAAGTGAAATAAGCCATTTGCAGGATAAACACTGCATGATTCCACTAATGTAAACACTTAGAGTAGTCAAATTCATAGACTAGAAGGTAGAATGGTTGTTTCTCGGAACTGGGGGAAGAGAGGAATGAGGAGATACTGTTTAATGGGTACAATGTTTCAGTTTTGCAAGATGAAAAAGTTCTGGAGATGGATGGCTGCAGAACACTGTGAACATAGTTAATGTCACAGAACTGTACACTTAAAAATGGTTAAAATGGTAAATTTTATGTCATGTATATTTTACCATAATTTCTAAAAATGAAAGAAATCCTGGTACATGCTAGGACATGGATGAACCTCAAAGACTCAGTCTAAGTGAAATGAGCCAGACGCAAAAGGACAAACACTATGAGTTTACTTACCTACAGTACCTAAAATAGTCAAATTCATAAAGAAGAAAGTAAAAGAGAGGTTACCAGGAACTAGAGGGGAAGAGAATGGGAAGTCAGTATTTAATGGGTACAGAGTTTCTGTTTGGGATGATGAAAAAGTTCTGGAGATGAATGATGGTGATAGTTGCACGACATGAAATACTGAACGCCACTGGATTGCACACTTAAAAATAGTTGCAATGGTAAATTTGGTGTATACTTTACATTAAAAATGTAAAAAAGTCAGCAAAATAAAGGTATGCACTCAACATTAACATTAGCTAAGAAATTAAAAATCTTTAAAACATACTGGCTATAAATACCACCTAGTGGTCACATTTAAAATATGAAATTTCATTATCTAAGAGTTCACTTACTGCTTTTCCTCTATAATCTTAACTAAGTTTACCGAATCGGCACCTTCTCCAGATATTTGTGATGCTGGCATCTCTGGATTTCACCTCTAACCTAATCAGTTTCCCCACAAACTGTAAAGGTGCAATTTCAAGGCTCTCTGTTTCTGTGCTAGGCAGAGAGCTCTACACCAGACAGAAAGGACTAGGAGGTGCAGGGATTCACCGAGTACTTAATGATAACTGGGAGTTTCTCATTCTCAGGAATAAGATATTCAAACTTTCTAACTTTCTAGCACGCTGCTGTTAGAAAAGAATTTCCAAAACAGAATCCCACGTTCAAATTTAAGTATGAAAGCATACTTTTAAGGGCACACGACGCATTTTTATTTACAGCAAACTTGGTTTACCCATGACTGTTTGATATCTTTCTTTACTTCAAATAGTGAACTAATATTAATTATAAAAGCCAGAACTCTGGTCATTTTCACCTAAATACATACCTGGTAGAATTTGCTCTCATAGAGAGACAAAAATTAATTTTCTAACAAGTAGTCATATGTTATGTACAAAAGGTCATGGGAAAAAGGATAACAGATGAAGTTAAATTAATTTTTTAAAAAACCACATACACCAGTATTACGCAATTTAACTTAAGCTTAATATGAAAATGCTAAGTACATAAGTAGCAAGTTACTTTCCAGAAATTTCTTTTAATTATCGATGTTAGAGGTGCAAAAAAACATTTAATAGGTGGTTTTTGTTAGGCACTCAGGGGTTAAAAAACATACTTATAGTCAACATAATGATTAATATTTTAAGAAGTTACCTTCTTCAAGCTTCTTTTTCAGTTCTTCTATTTCTTTCTGAAACTGACGAAGCAAAGCATCCTTTGGATCTTCATTAATTCTAGCTTTATTTTTAATATTCTTAGCACGGTTGGCATACCGTAACGTACTAATAGTTTCATCGTAATTGTAATCTGCTGGCCCAATATTTGCACACTGTTGAATTAAGAAAAAAAAATCTTTTACACTTGACATAGTCAAATTAATACTACCATTACAAACATATGAAAAAAATTTTTGAAGCACATATGCACCCTGGCCTTCTTGAAAAAAAAGACTATCAACCACATGGATTTCCAAACAACACTGCTGTGGGCTGATACATATGGTGTACTACAGAAAGGATAACCACAAATTTTAAAAGTAAAATAATAGTTTTTAAAATGTTATATATGTCAATTATTGCCATAAATTGGAATCATAAATGTGTCTGATGTTAACTATACCCCAATTAAGTCTTACCATCATGGTTTTTGAATTTCCTCCTAAGGAATCCTGAAGAAGACGTGTCAATTTAGAGTTACGATAAGGTACGTGAGTGCTTTTTCCATCAACCAAGGCAGAAATTACATTACCAAGGGTGGAAAGAGAAAGATTGATTTTCGTAGCTTCCTTTAGGCGCTGTCCAGTAGCTCCAGTTTTTGCTTGTCTTTCTGAACCCTAGCAATAAACAGAGACAAAAGTAAGCTAAAATTAAAATGTACATCGCTTCTCAACCTTTTGGCTAAGATCAAGTGTAAAAATTAAAATGTACAGAATATTCTACCCAAGGTTTTTAAAAAAGTAATTTAAACAGTAAAAAATTGGATGCATTGTCTAGAATTTACTTGACAATAATAGAGGAAAGTAAAAAGTAGGTGAGAGTAGATGCAAAAAGATTAGCCATGAGTTAATAATTGTTAAAGTTGAGTGGTGGGTACATGGGGGATCATTACACTATTCTATCTACTTTTGTATACCTTTGAAATATTCCATAATAGACAATAAGTTAAAAACACACACAAGTAAAAACTTAAAAAATCATGCCTTTTCACTTTAATTCTTACTCATTTATAAAATACCAGAAAGAGTACTCCTTAAGTAGTACCCTGTTACTTACAGCAAGATCTACGAGATGGAGCTTCCCCATCCTGACATGCATGTTACCATCAACACCTTTTTCACTGCATTCTATAGTAATTGTAAAGATGGCGTGAGAACGGGAACTATGTTCATTCATATTAGTTGCACCAACAGAACCTTTAATAAAGAAAGGAAACTCGTTAAAAAAGTGGTACGTAGAATGTCTTTAAAAATATAATTAAATATCTAGAACAATTTAAAATACTTAATTTAGTTAATTTAATCACAATCAACAATCAGAGAACATGGCTAAACCACAAAAGCACAAATGTATATTTAGCCATTCCATTATATGAAATTTCTTATACTTTATGTTGATAACAAAAGAATTGGTAGGCCAGGCGCATTAGCTCACGCCTGTAATCCTAGCTTTCTGAGAGGCCGAGGCGGGCGGATTGCTCAGGAGTTCGAAACCAACCTGAGCAAGAGCGAGACCCCGTCTCTACTATAAATAGAAAGAAATTAATTGGCCAACTAATATATATAGGAAAAATTAGCTGGGCATGGTGGTGCATGCCTATAGTCCCAGCTACTCAGGAGCCTGAGGCAGTAGGATTGCTTGAGCCCAGGAGTTTGAGGTTGCTGTGAGCTAGGCTGACGCCACGGCACTCACTCTAGCCTGGGCAACAAAGCGAGACTCTGTCTCCAAAAATAAATAAATAAATAGTAATAAAGGCAAATTTTACTAGTATGTGCCAACAGTTCAGGTTATATGAAATAGATAAGAAAAACAGTATTATGTAAAATTAGGATAGTAAATTTAAATAAGGGGGTTGTTTGGGGATTATAATGTTGTTTCTCATTAGGGTTAGGGTTAGGGTTAGGGTTAGGGTAATGTTTCTCATATAAAAGACATGATTTTAGTACAGTCCCTGATTAATGCAGACTGATGGTCTACGTTTGAACACTAATTCTGTTAATACCACTTACTAGTTATACTACCTTAGACAAGTTACTTAAACTAAGTGTCAGTTTCCTCATTCATAAGGTAAGAATTTAATAGCATCATAGCCTCTGTGAGGATTAAAAGAAACTATCCTTAAAAAGCACTTAGCACAAGTACTTCCCAGTTACTAAGTGCTCAATAAATTTTACAATATTATTATAGCTAACAAGAGAGTTTCAAGTATTAGCACTATTAAAAAGAAAATTGGGGTCAACATGGAAAATGATCTGTGATGTCATTCATTCACATATGCTTGCTATATGTTAATAGTAAATAATCAAAGGGAATGATTTCCAAGAAACCATTTTTGCTTTAAACCAGCCGACTCAACACACAGATGTTTAATCACAATTAAGCATGACACTTACGATTTTTGTGGCCTAGTGTCATAATTCTATCCATATCATCAGCATTATTTACCACATAAGCTGATAAATCTTTGATATAAACTCCCACATCGGGTCTTTCTTTAACCTAAAAAAAAAACCAAAAAAAAAAACCACTTTACATTTATATCAATAATTCTTCCAAAATTATTTATTGCACATATTGAGAACATACAAATGGATAATTACACAAAAAATTATTTTGTGTCAATTGTAATGATGCCATGAAGAAGAAATACGGGAAGGTATGGGAATATATTACAGAACACTAAGCTAGTGAAGGGGATGACTAAGTTTCCCCAAGATGACATTTAAGCTAAGACTTGAAGAAGAAATATGAGGGAAATAATCTGGGTTGTGGTAGGAGAAGAATACATGCAAGGATCCCGAAATTAGAAAAAACTAAGCACTTCAAAAATAAAACAAAAAAGACAGGGTAGCTGGAGAGAGCAGGAAACAGAGGGAAATAGGCAGAGGAGATTTCAGAATGGTTACTGGTCTTTATGCTAAGAGTAATTTGGAGAATTTCAAGTAGCTGAGTGAAATAATCAGATCTATATGGATATGTAAAAAGCACTGTCTTTCTGTGAGTTATCCTATGAGAACTTTTACTAAATTTAAAGCATGTATTTAGGATGGATTTACCTAAAATACAGGTGGTGCCCTATATACAAAATTCACTTTGGAGGGCCCAACAAGTCACCTCCACAAGCCAATAGAATAAACTGAAACTAAGGGGCTGGGCGCGGTGGCTCACGCCTGTAATCCTAGCACTCTGGAAGGCTGAGGCAGGCAGACTGCTCGAGGTCAGGAGTTAAAAACCAGCCTGAGCAAGAGTGAGACCCTGTCTCTACTATAAATAGAAAGAAATTAATTGGCCAACTAATCTATATAGAAAAAATTAGCCAGGCATGGTGGTGCATGCCTATAGTCCCAGCTACTCAGGAGGCTGAGGCAGCAGGATTGCTTGAGCCCAGGAGTTTGAGGTTGCTGTGAGCTAGGCTGACGCCACGGCACTCACGCTAGCCTGGGCAACAAAGTGAGACTCTGTCTCAAAAAAAAAAAAAAAAAAAAAGAAACTGAGGCAGAGCCTGTGACTGCCAGTGGGGAAGCCATTCCACAAATAGTAAAGACCTCACAGACACAGAAGACAAACAGAAATTTGAAAATAATTCCAGGAACAAAACTTACAAGAGCAGACGGACACTACATTCCTCGTGTTTATTTTCAGTCCAGTTAGAGTGTGTGTGTGTGTGTCTTTTATGAAAATTTATAAGATATATTTACAAATTAGGAAAAATTATACTTTATGTCATAGAACAGGGGTCCTCAAACTTTTTAAACAGGGGGCCAGTTCACTGCCCCTCAGACCATTGGAGAGTGTGGGCCCGGGACAAGTCAGCTGCTAAGCAGGACAGGCAGCGGGAGCAAAAACACCCGGAGGGCCAGATAAATGTGCTAGGTGGCCCACATGTGGCCTTCGGGCTGTAGTTTGAGGACGCCAGTCATAGAATATAAATTAAGCCCCTATTTTATTAGCAGTAAAAGGAACATGTTGGCCTCTATAAACAGTGGGTTTAAGACCATGCTCTAAAAATCCCTAAAGTCCACAGTGGCACTGAGGGGCCACTGTGGGAGTTTGGGGGTCTTCAGGCTCAGAAAAATTCTAAAGAGAGCTTTACCTTCGTGAAATTTGCACCCTGAGCTTCCACACGGCTTTAGTTTGATGAAAGTTAGTTTAAGTGCTTTATTTACACCTTTTAAAAGGTTTAAAAATTATTGGTCTATATCAATGCTTCAAAAAAATGACAAAGGACAATGTGTGTATTTCCAATCTGATAATTTTGTAAAATACAAAAATCACGGCTTGGATGCCATGACAATGTCAAATTGCTATGGAAATCTTTTTGTGCTCATCTCACTACAGACTAGAAATAAACATTCTTCAAACACATCAGTATGCGAGTTACTGGTCTTTATGGACTCTAAGGTCTTTTCCAATCACAATATAATATTAAATCAAAATTCAATTATTAAGTGTAGATTACTGATTAGATATAAAAGATGAAGAAACAAAATATGATTCCAAATTTGTGCAAGTTAAAAAAAGTGATGGTAGTGCTGGCAAAGAATTTTTATCATAAACATAGGAATTTAATTTCTATAATGAACACAGTTTATAACAATGGATTTCAAAGGGAGTAGTTACTCCTCTTCCCCCAGAATGTTCAGAAATTTGTGGAGGAGTCTAGTTCACTTGAGGACATTATTAGCATACAGGCAGGGCCCAGGACTACTAAGCATCCTAAAATGAGTGGGATATCCTGACCCAATGAAGGATTGTCCTTCATAATTTTGAAAGTCCTTCCAGATTTTCACATGGGTGAAAAAACAATTTATAATTATCTGGGTCTATCTATATGTAACTTTATTTTGCATATTAAGACAAAGTGCTTTTCCATGATAACAGTAACAATAGCAATACCATACAGGCTGGTCGCGGTGGCTCACGCCTGTAATCTTAGCACTCTAGGAAGCCAAGGCGGGCAGATTGTTCAAGGTTAGGAGTTCGAAACCAGCCTGAGCAAGAGCGAGACCTGTCTCTACTATAAATAGAAAGAAATTAATTGGCCAACTAATATATATAGAAAAAATTAACTGGGCACAGTGTCGCATGCCTGTAGTCCCAGCTACTCAGGAGACTGAGGTACAAGGACTGCTTGAGCCCAGGAGTTTTAGGTTGCTGTGATCTAGGCTGATGCCACGGCACTCACCCTAGCCTGGGCAACAAAGTGAGACTCTGTCTCAAAAAATAAAAAATAACAAAATAACATAATACACAAATACAGGAAAACCAAGGAAAGAATTGTACTTTATTTTGCTCAGAACTCTACAAAGAACTAATCACTATTTTAAAAGACTGTATCACTGACAATAACACCAATCAAGGTGTTTAGATCACCAAGACAATGTATCTTGACACTCCACATCTGTTGCTCTTATAGTTATGGTGATTCTATGGGCCTCTATTTCATTATGTCATCGAGTGTGGTCACATTTAAGCATTTATATACTGAAATACTAGTATTTTTCTATTAATTTTATTTTCCTTTATATTAAAGTAGGGCAATATACTGATTTTTTAAATTATGTATATAGGTAGATTTTAACATTTATGAATTTTATTTCATGATAGTCAGAAGAGCATCACAAAATGTATGTTATAAAAAGGGGCAGAATCAACACTGTTAAAATGTCTATAATACCCAAAGTGACCTACAGAGTCAATGCAATCTCTATTAAAATACCATCATCATTTTTCACAGATACGGAAAAAAATAGTTTTATGCTTCATATGGAACCAGAGAAGACCCCATATAGCAAAATCAATCCTAGGCAATAAGAACAAAATAGGAGGTATCAATTTACCAGATTTCAAACTATACTACAAGGCTATAATAATTAAAACAGCTTGGGACTGGCACAAGAACAGGGACATTGACCAGTGGAACAGAACAGAGAACCCAGATATAAAACCATCCTCATATAGCCAACTAATTTTTTACAAAGCAGACAAAAACATACACTGGGGAAAGCATCCTTATTCAATAAATGGTGCTGGGAAAACTGGATAGCCACGTGTGGAAGACTGAAACAGGACCCACACCTTTCACCTCTCACAAAAATCAACTCATGCTGGGTAACAGACTTGAACATTAGGTGTCAAACTATTAGAATTCTAGAGGAAAATGTTGAAAATACTCTTCTAGACATTGGCCTAGGCAAAGAATTTATGAAGAAGACCCCAAAGGCAATCACAGCAACAACAAAAATAAATAAATGGGACCTGATCAAATTAATTCTGTACAGCCAAAGAAACTGTCAAGAGAGCAAACAGGCAACCCACAGAATGGGAGAAAATTTTCACAAGCTACATGTCCGATAAAGGGCTGATAACTAGAATCTATTTAGAACTCAGGAAAATCAGCAAGAAAAAAGTAAACAACCCTATCAAAAAATGGGCAAAGGACATGAACAGAAACTTCTCAAAAGAAGACAGAATAATGGCCAACAAACATATGAAAAAATGCTGAACATCTCTAATCATCAGGGAAATGCAAATCAAAACCACAATGAGATATCACTCAACTCCAGTGAGAATGGTCTTTATCAAAAAGTCCCCAAACAGGCCTGGCGCGGTGGCTCACACCTGTAATCCTAGCTCTCTGGGAGGCCGAGGCAGGCGGATTGCTCGAGGTCAGGAGTTCGAAACCAGCCTGAGAACTAATAATATAGAAAAATTAGCCGGCATGGTGGCACATGCCTGTAGTACCAGCTATCTTGGGAGGCTGAGGCAGGAAGGATTGCTTGAGCCCAGGAGTTTGAGGTTGCGGTGAGCTAGGCTGATGCATGGCACTCACTCTAGCCTAGGCAACAAAGGAGACTCTGTCTCAAAAAAAAAAAACAAAACAAAAAAAAAGTCCCAAACAATAAATGTTGCGCGGATGCAGAGAGATAGGAACACTCCTGCACTGCTGGTGGGACTGCAAACTAGTTCAACCTCTGTGGAAAGCAATATGGAGATACAAGTAGATCTACCATTTGATCCAGCAATTCCACTACTGGGCATCTACCCAAAAGATCAAAAGTCACTTTATGAAAAAGACACCCACACTCAAATGTTTACAGCAGCACAATTCACAATCGCAAAGCTGTGGAAACAACCCAAGTGCCCATCAATTCATGAGTGGATTAATAAAATGTGGTGTATGTATACCATGGATACTACCAGCTTTAAGAAACAATGGCACCTCTTGTATATTTCGGATAGAGCTGGAACCTATTCTACTAAGTGAAGTATCTAAGAATGGAAAAACAAGCACCACATTTACTCACCAGCAAATGGTATTACGAACGGATCAACCACCTAAGTGGACATACAGGAGTAACATTTATCAGGTGTCGGGAAGGGTGGAGGGGAAGGAGGGATGGGTATATACAACTACAAGGAGTAAGATGTGCCACGTTTGGGGGATGGACACACTTGAAGCTCTTACTCAAGGGGTGAGGCAGGCACGGGCAATATAT